CACACTTGCGTGTAGCTCCAACGATGATGTGTACAGCTGCCCATAGAACTTCTCAATTACAGGTGTCCCAGAAAAGATTCTGCCACACTCTCTTCAGCTTTGACAGTTAGCTCCTCCGACGGACAGATCTCTGGCAAAGGCTTTGGAGCCCTGGTTCCGCTCGATCGCTTCTTCAATACGAGCAGTATTAAAGTTGCGTAAGTCCCGCCGCCTGCGTTTGGAGATCTGTTTGCTCAGTCACTGTTGACTGTATGCTGTCAAATCTATTGAAGACTGCAACTTCATTTCCCGTCTAACAGTCATGGGATTAAGAGTGCGATCGGGAAGTTTTTGTGTTCTTCTGCTGCGGTGGGTCTTGCAGAACTTAGGTCCGAGCGCATGGACAGTTTCCACGAGCTCGTCATTTATATCGTCCACTGCATTGCAGTCTTCTAGGCACTAAAAACGGTTATGTACCTTGAGCTGAAAGGTTGCGGTACTTTGGATTAGAGCACGAGGAGGACGGAGAATTGACTTCATTACACGAGATCTCTCCAACTTAACGTGTAGGTTCAATGTGCCTCCAACCAACCATTCGGTTATCGCTGCCAGTTTTCACACTTGCGATCACTGAGACATCACTGAACAGTTGCCGTCTAGTCGTCATAATAAAGTCAATCTCATTTTTTGTCGAACCGTCGGGGCTCGACCAGGTCCCCTTTCTATGGGGCCACTTTTGAAGAAAGAGTTCATCATAAAAAGTCCTACTTTCTCCTTGAAGTCGACCAGCTGCTGGGCCCTTAGGTTCCCTTGCCCTATCCCAAATTTCCCTACCTTCAGCTCACCGTTCTTTCTTGTTGTGCCTGTCCCTTTCTGTTTTGGAGGAATGCATGACTCTAATATCCTCATACATTCCCTCCACCTCCTCATCGGGATGTGCCGAGGTTGGTGCGTAAACCTGTATGACCTTCAGCGAATATTGTTTGGTGATTCTGAGCATAAAGTACGCAACCTTCGTCGACACACTCCCAATTAACGAGACTTGTGGACGATAAATCCAACACCATGGGACAGATGGTCGCCCTCCCGGTGATCGAAAAAGTTGCCGGATTCGAGGATCACCGTAGTCCTCCCCCTCTTCGGACCTAGGATAATCCTGTGATATTGAAGCGCAACTTGTCAGTGCTCAGGGTACGTGAGTTGTATGTTGCCAGGTCGAGTAGTCTTAGGTGGCAACCGAACCTCCACCGAAGATTCTTAGCACCCCCTGCCCCGCCGTTACCATGGTCGCCACCGTAGTCAGGAATAGCGGGGCCGCCGGGGACTGGGGGCCGTCTCTTCGTAACTCTCATCTTGGGGGGTTTATTGTCATAGTTGGCACGCTTGGCGAGCGTGTCGGCAACCGGTCTTTTTGTTGTAAAATTGCTGTTATCGGGTAGATGCTGCTGCCCATCTCCTGCCTGTTTCCCTCTGTCGCCTTTTACGACTCCCACGGGAAGATATGGGGTAGCGGATATTCGCTATAACCGCCACTATACATGTCGATGTAATATGCTGGTTTAAAAATAATTCACCAGTTAAACTACAATAAATATTATTAATCTAATTTATATCACAATTGATACGTGTTATTATATTTCAGGCTGCAATCATCTAAACAACTTTTGAATTTGATTAACAAGAACTTCGGCACTCTTGCTTTCTGCAAGCGATGGTTAGAACGCGCAGGTGCAACACGCTACGCAATGGCTCTTAAGGATTTGTGTGACAAAGGTGTGGTAGATGCTTACCCTCCTCTATGTGACATAAAAGGATGCTATACGGCTCAATTTGAACACACTATACTGCTAAGACCAACATGCAAGGAGGTCGTATCACGTGGTGATGACTATTAAGATTCACAAAGATGTCACAGTTGTACTAGTTTTTTATAAGAATTTCTTAAATAACCTTTGCGGCCTTTACATATTTACATTATTAGGGATTCCGTTTATTAAAATTTCGTATTGTTGTTTCTCAATTTGAAGTACACAATACAAATAATGTTTGCGTTTTAATTTACACCAAGAACTGCCGTATGCTATTTATTTGATGCCCTTTTTTAGGCGATTGTTGTTATATTTTATTTCTCTTTATTAACCTGTGTCAAAACACGTAAACCGACATATTGGTATTTACATAATAACTTTCTGTAATTATAAAACAATGTTTTAATAAAGTTCTATGATAGAGTCTAATGTTTTATTTCAGAATCTGTGGGTATATAAAAAAAAAAACAAATAATTTTTCCATCTTTATTTTAGTTTCATACATAGGGAAATTACTTTCTATTCATTACCTTTATTTAAAAGATTATATCTACGTGTAGGTAATATTTAAACATTTTTCGGTAATAACAAATCGATCATAGAAAGGTATAAAAATGTTCTAATACCATAATTACAATTCAATATTATATAAGTTAGTGGACTTGAAATCTGTTTTTACAACACACACTTAACCATCATAGACTTACAAAACCATATAATATTGTATGTGACATGCTCTAAATAATGAAACAACTATTTCACGCAATTTCAGTATGTTATAAATTGCAACTTACACATTTATGTTTCCATTTATTTTTTCAAATATTTAATACTAATAGTTCTTTTTGTTCAGATGCAGAACGTCTTCATCTATTATTAATACTACTTACTTGCGTCTAGTATTGCGATTTGACAGCCGCGTTGTCTAGTGCTCGTAAGCGCGACTGCTGACTATGTGGTCCCGGGGTCGGATCCCGGGTGGGCAAAAATCAGTAATAGGGTTTTTCTTTCAAGAAATTCTCAGTAGCAGTTCGGAGTCGAAAAAGTATGCGGTGCTCTCCCGTTTCAAAGAAGTAACGCCGTTGGTCTTGCGCCTGATTTCTGTCAAATTGTGTCGGATTGGCTTACCAACTAACAATGGTTGGGATTTAGAGACTGCACCTATTCACCCATTTCACACACACATGTACATTATAATTCTGTATTGCGCAGTCTAACCACCGTGGAGGTTGGCCATGATCGAAATCAGGTTTAGAAGACATTCCAGGCGATGATCGCTAATCTGCGAGCCAAGTGCAACGATTACGGTAAATCCCCTACTATAGTAGAGGTGATAACCGGCTGATGAGGATAAAAATCTAACGTTTCATCCGCAGTATTTAGGTATTTTTAATAGGTAATTACCATTTAAGTTCCAGGATCAACACACTTGATATTTTTTTTTATTATATGTACAAAATGTAATGACTGAAACATATTAAACCCTAGACTTTCATTGAAAAATTTATATAATCAAATCGATTTATAACAATGGTCTAAGAATATAGCAAAACTAACAACACTATTCCTCTAAATCATTTGGAATACCAGTCCCTGAATGTTTAAAGTGGGGAATGGTTTGTATATAACATGTACCAACTTTTCGTAAACACGACAACCTGAATACTAAGCAATCAACCGACATGGACACATGGTGTATTTAATGCCTTTAAAATCCTAAAACCCCTATTATTCTAGACTATACGAGTGGTTACAGGGAGCCAATACAACTTAAAATTTTGGGAAATACATTGTGTAATTTTAAGGTACTTAGATTTTTGGTGACTTGACGGACAAAATTACTTGATAATACCAAATTATTTTGTATGTTTTTGTGTGATCAGATATGCGAATCAACAGCAACTCTCCTCATCACGATGTAACACTACCGGCTTCATTGCAAAACAATTTCGCTTTTTCAAGCGGAATGACCACAATGGACAAAATCAGTAGTCAGTAGAAACAAAATAACCGAAAATCGATGAACTAATCTTCCCGCCATGTCGCTTGTCGAACTTTATTCTACTGTACGAGTTTCGACTTATACTCTCGCGTTGATTAGTATAAGGGGTATAATCCAAAATGTTTCCAGTATACTGGTCATACATTATTAACGCCGTACGTCATTAATTAACGCCGTATTCCACTATATTCAATACAACGAATCACCAATATGGCGTCGATTTATGACGTCATTTGCATGGGCCAGTGTACTAGGTTGTATTTCGGAACATACCCCCTATCGCTGACACATGGATGCAGTTAATGCAAGATTTTCTCAAAGAGAAATTATACAATAAAAACACGAACGGACTGTGTACATTTTATAATTTTCATACTGCGTTGTTCATATTAATATACAATTATTATTTTGACAAAATGATTTTAGTTTAAAAACAAATAATCAACAAGCCAAAAACAAAATTGTGATTTTTTAAAATTTTATACTCCATTACAACAACACTCAAGCAACTGCAAATAAACACTAGTTAATTAAAATAATCATACTACGAAAAAAAAAATAAGGACACCTAGAATTCATACATTGTGCACTAAATTTTTATTTAATAGTTCAATTTAGTTTAAATTATTCAAATGCAAAAAAATTTGAATTAAATTAGTTTCACATATAAGAGTGTATTCAGTATTTTGCATCAAATCGGGAAGTTACTTTCATTAAAAGAAACAATGTATATCGCATCAAATCGCTATAGCTAAGTTTGGATAGGTAATATAATATATAACACAAACAATAAATACTTAATTAAGGGAAAGGCAATCTCATGTAGATGATGAACCCAACTAAATTATAATATACAAATTCCTTATACCAAACTGGTAAAGTATCACAGAAATTAAGCATAATCCTAGCTAAACTATCATGACATCTAATATCCCAATACTACTATATAATTGGTTTGGTCAATGTAATTTTTGCTAATTAAAAAATGTTGTTTTTATACTTATACTACACATATTTTCTCGCAGCAGGCGGGGTCATAAATATTGCAGTAGGTATGTTTACTTAGGCTTACCCAATAAAACAAGAAAACCTCGTAATTTAGATTCAAATTAGACCAAAGAAAATACTGAGATGAAAAATTACACTGGTATCATATCTTTTTTATTTCATGACGAGAAAGTAATTAATTTAACTGTATTTAAGCAGTATTATTATTTGCCATCACCATTAGTAGTCATGTCGGTGTATGGCCAATTATAAATAGACTGAAGAGGTACATGAAGTAGCTCCACAATGTGCCTGTAATGTGGTTCTGAAAAAGAAAATTATTAAATTATTCATCTGAAATACATATCAGAGGATTGCTATTTAAGACTTTCGATGTATCGATAGGCCATATGCTATACTGATAATTATAGCAAATATTCATTTACGAACATTGCAATAACACAAAACAACTAAAATGTTTTATATGTATTTTAATATCAAGTAAACTTAAAAATTTAGAGTAAATTATTAAAAATGGATCTTATGCCTCATTTACATTCAGCCCCTGCCACTGCTCCTCACGCTGCCGGCAATACTTCGCTAAATACTGCCGTAGCAGGATCGCGGGAAGTGTGTATTCACACTCTGCCCTAGCACTCACACATCGCTTTCGGCTTTCGACTATGGCAGACGTCGAAATAATTACAGCGTCCGCGTTGTGTCTTCTTACAATACAAAATTATGTTAATAATTTAAAATTCAAAAGAAGATAGATAGATAGATAGAAAATTTATTTGCTTAAAAACATGGTACATAAGATGATCAATGACGTGGAACTGACATGTTTTGCCATAATTGGCATGCAAAAATGATATGAAATACAGCTAATTACATAAACCCAATGTTACATTTTAAAATTATTGTATTGCTTAAAAGTTAGGTACCTACAAACATTCTTTTTGAATTCAAATAGGTATTATGTACAATTAAATACAGTTCCACTCTATTTGAATTCTTATACTGTAAATTGTTCAAAAATTATTAATTGAATTATTACATTATTGTTACATAAATAATATTAAATATTATATGAGATTAGTTAAGCTATTATTATTTTAATAATTACACTACAGTATTAATTAATTCATAATTTTAACTACAATTAAATTATTAATAAAATTATAATTTAAAAATCTTAGGCTATTATGCAAATATTACCATTTAACTTATTTCAAAATTTTAATAAATAAATAATCTGAGTTACTAATCGTTGTTAGAAAAAAATTTTTCTTTAAACTAAATTGTTTATTAATATAATAAATTTGACGAATTTATAATTAATTATGTACATAGGTACTATCTTATCTCAAAAAGAAAATTCGTATTCGTAGAAGATGATGAATTGTGGTTTTTATCGTTGAAATCCCATATAGTTTTTTCTGATTCCAGCAGTTCTAAAAACTTTATTGTATTTTCATTATTCCACTCGAAAGGCATTTCGGTAGATCGTACTTAATATTTAATAACAAGACACGACACGCACGTCCGTTAAAATATATCCAGGCGCTTAGCGCGAAGTGAGCGATGGAGCTGAATGTGAACACTCACTGCCGCTCGCGCTGCCCGTCCTTTGACTTCCGCGCGAAAAACCGACATTTGAGCGATCGTCGGGCAGTGGCAGCGGCAGCGGCAGTGTAAGCGCGAGTAGCCCGTTTACATACTGCCCTGCCCACTGCCCTGCTCACTTCCCTGCCCAACAGGGCTGAATGTAAATGGGGCTTAATGCCCCATTTGCATTCAGCCCTTTTGATTATCTGGGGGCACGGCATGGCCTCCGCCAAGTCGAGCAAAAAAAGCGGCACGGCCATACTTTTCTTGGATGGAAACATGGATAATTGCTACTGTGAAACGTCTTTTGGAGCTTGGCTTTAATATACGAGCTTTCGTGTCAGATCTAGGATCAGATTTTTTGGCATTTTCAAAAACATTAGGGATCTCTAAAGAAAACTCATGTTTTGAGATTGATGGTCACAAAATTTACTACATATTTGATGTTCCTCACTTAATGAAGTGCGTGAGAAATAATTTAATAAACTATAATTTTGAGTTTGATGGCAAAACTACTCCGTGGGAGGACATAACAAACATGTATGAACTAGATAAAATGAAAGATATGCGATCAGCTCCTCGTTTAACTGATTCACATTTACAGCCGAATAATTTCCAAAAACAAAAATTTCGTTTTGCCGTTCAAGTTTTTAGCAATTCTGTAGTAGTAGCTTTAAAAAATTATCAATCATCGGGTACTCGACAAGTTGCTGATGGTACGATATTTTTTATTGAAATCATGAACAACCTCTTTGATTTACTGAATTCAAGCAACATCGACTCACCAAAAGTCTACAGTAAACCGTATAGGGGTACTACTCTCAAAGAGGAATTGCTAGATAAATCACAGCGTATGTTTAATAGCGTGAGAGTTAAAAATAAAAAGAATGGCCGTGACGTTACCAATATCATAAAATTTATAAATGCTTTCAACATAACAATAAACTCACTTCGGCAATTATATAAAGATATGAAGTCTGGGGGATATGATTACTTACTCACACGAAGAATTAACATTGATTGCTTAGAAAATTTTTTTTGGGCTCGTGAGGCAAGCTGGCGGAAATTGTCGGGAACCCTCTTGTATACATACACCAGGGCATTCCGAAAAATGTTTCTATGCCAAATTCTAAATTTATCAGACGCTGCAAATTGTACCGAAGATTTTGACAGCATACTAGCCCAATTTGTAGAATATGCCAAAAATACACCTCAAGCTCAAGTTTCTATCCAGGATCCACCTCAAATACAACCCAAAGAGAATTTTACAAAGATGTACGACATTCCAGAAAAAATGCATTCCACTATATCTGCGGTTATTTGTTGCGAAGGTGTGTTGAAAGTCACAAGCGTGACTGCCTATCGGTAATTAGTTACGCATCATCATATGACGATGAATCAAATGAGAGAAATTTATACATCCGTCTGAGAGCTTATGATACTAGCCGTGATCGCTTCGGAGGACTACAAGTCCCTCCAGATGATTTTGTGGATTACATACATAGCTTGGAAACAGAATTGATGTCGATTTTTACTTTTACTGGAAACATTGGGTTCAAATTGTTTGAGCATTTGAGACTAATAGAGTTCAACACCAAACCATGTGCATGCTTCCCAATAAATTATTTGTTAAAATTATTTATTAGGGTGAGAATTTTTTATATAATTAAGTTCAATAATAGAAATTTCAAATCCAGTAAATCTAAAAACCGAAAATATTTGTCAGTTGCCATTTATAATTCCTGATTTAGAAATGAATTAGTTATTATATCCTTATAGTTTTTTTTTCTTATCGATTATATAGTAACAAAACAGGTGTCCATATAGTTATAGTAGTAGTAAATATTTGAATTCCAATCATTTTATTCGTGAGGCAGCTACTTATGCAGCCCCACTCCCCCCTCGCTATCGAATCCGCAGGCCGAGAAACTCTCTCTCGGATACACTCCGCCAAATAAAATTTCAACCGACTTGAACTGCCTCCTGGCGGCTCAGGCCGATTCTTCTTAAATTTGGCCTAACTAGGCTCTCCCTCAGCGGCTCGTCGCCGCCGCCTGCGCCCTCTTCTCCCAAAAGAGGGTCGCTTCCGATCCGGCAAAGAGGCTTAATCCGCCAATTGCCAGTCCCACAGGTGGTGTTTAGTGGGTACACTTAGGGTAGTGGTTAGGTTAGGGTTTAGTCACAGTGAGTCCCACATAACCACGACAGACCGGCTGTCGTGGTTTGCATAAAGCATTCACCACCTCCTCGCGTAACGGGGTAGCCCTTTCTAATTGCTTCTGGGCGCAAAAAAAAATTGGAAAATCCAAAATGCCCGCCTCATGAGCGTTTCATTTAATTTTGATGAAAAAAATAAATAACTTTTAAAAGGTGTTCAGTTCAATAGAAAAAACGGACGGCAGTCGATATCTTTTTTTCAATTATTCTCTTTATCTTTTGTACAATCTAAAGTGAATCAGTTATAAAATAAACCAATAATTCAATGTCTGTAGTCTTGTATATATATATATACAATGACTTATCTATACTATTTTAATATTATACTTAATATATATATATATTTGACTGTCTAGCTAAGAGTATAAGAACTATTTTATGTAGCGAAACTGAGGTATGGCCACATATCGAGAGTAAAGCACTCCCTCACGTTGTGAGGCGTGCAATTAGCGTTTTGAGTACTTTCAGGAAAAAATTAAGAACAAATTATTACTTATTCTTTATATTAGTAATCATATTGTTGATCACGATGTAGATCTAAAATAAATAATGAAATTAGTAAAAGTTGTTAATTTGTGACAACCCTAACCTCCATACGCTGTCTAGACGTTGTCGGCATTTACCACGAGATCAAAGGCGTCGTCCTACTGTATGTTTTTATTATACTTCTTATTATCTTTATTATGCTTCTCCCAGTGATGCTCCCATCTTTCTAATCCGTCCTAATAGTAATCGGCGTTTTTCACTGCAAAATAATTGTTCAAGAAGGTGATTGCCTCCTCATTTGACCAAAATCTCTGTCCTCTGCACGCAATTTTTAGATGAGGGAACAAAAAGAAGTCGCTTGAGGCTAGATCTCGTAACGCGAATGGTCAAACAGTTCATACCGTAATTCGTGGATTTTTGCCAGCGCAATCGATGAGGTGTGATACTGCGCGTTGTCATGGTGAAACAGGATTTTCTTTTTCTGCAAATGTGGCTATTTTTCCGGAATTTCTGTCTTCAGTTTGGCAAGTAATGATGTGTAGTAGGCTCTTGTAATGGTTTTTCATTTTTGAAGATAATCGATTTTAATAACTCCAAGACTACAATAAACAGTCGCCATCACTTTGTCAGCCGAAAAAACAGTTTTTGCTTAAAAAAGCAAAATATGGAGCCAGTTCCCCTTTGCAGTCCACTGTTTTGAATGTATTTTTGTTTCGAGCATATAATGGTGTATCCAAGTTTCATCCACAGTAATTAATCGGCGCTAAAACTCGGATTTTTTGCGTCTAAACTGTGCCAACAGAGCGTTGGAAATGTTCATCCCAACACGTTTTTGGTCCAACGTTAGCACACGTGGCTCTCTCTTTCTTTCTCTTTGCCTAAATCTTGATTTATTATGTGACATACACGTTCTATGGACATTTTCATCGACTCTGCTATCTCTCTTACTTTAATTCGGCGGTCGTCTAGCACCATTTAGTGAACTTTACCGAGTTATCGTCTGTAGTTGTAGTTTTTGGACGTCCCGAACGTATGCCGTCCGTCAAGCTCTCACGAGCACGTTTAAATTTAGCTGCACAAAATTTCACTGCGGTAAATTATGGTGAGAGTCCCCATACACAGACTTCAACTCATCTTTGATTTGCGTAGGCATATTGCGTTTAAAACAAAATTTTAATAACAGCTCGATACTCAATATTTTCCATTTTCATAAAAACACACATTGATTCACTCAAACGACTGTCAAATAACAACTACGCATAATTTTGGGGCGTAACTGTCAAAAGATGCACGACTACATTCACTAACTTTTATTGAAGAGTGCTCCCATCTTCATGTTGAGGTCGGAAACTTTTAGCACCCTGGTAACTTTAGCTTTATGTTACTGGGACCACAAAGAGTGGGCCGAGCGAGCAAAGCGAGCGTGCTGTGGTAGCGGCCGGCGGAGTACCGGCACAAGCATTTTAAGATATTTCTTGGTGTTCGGAGTTCCTTAGTTCCCTTTCAGTTGCAAGTGATTTTTAATATGAAGTTTTTAAGAATGTTTTAAAAAAACTGACTTCAAGTTTCTGCCGAACGAGGGAAGAGTCACCTCTCCCTCCCCTCTTTTCCTCCCTCACTACCCATTATGTGCCGCAACCACAACGAAGGTATCTATAGTATGTGCCAAATCGATTGAGAAAAACGAAATGATCTCACATATGAGCCGAGTATCAAAAGGCGTAACTTACAAAATCTCAATTTAGGTGTGATAACAATATTAAAATATCGATATTATTCACACTTCTAGGGCAGCACATATGTTTTGTTTTTTTTGTTTCTTAAATAATATTGTTTGTGGTTCCTATAAACATCGTAAAATCTTACGGTACATCGCGAAAAATGTGTTATATTATATATTTCAATTTATGGTAAGTAACGCAGCAATTCATTTAATAATAGTTTCATATTAAAAAAAATATTTGAAGCAATATAATCACCATATTGAGCTTTTGCAAATTCATCCCTTTAAAATAAACAAAACGCGCGTTACGTCAGTTCGTTCTAAAAGAAACGTAATATAAATGGCAGCCAGAGATGCGTCACTATTTTCGGGCCGGCCCGCATGCACCGAATAAAAATAAAGTTCTTATATAATATTGAAAATAAAGTTTTATCTTTTGAATAAGTATGTATTTGGTGTCGTTATCACTCGAATCTTTATATGTGTACATATAAATTAATGCTTTTTGTTGTTAAATGAATAAAGTACTTTATAACAATAAATGATTTTTCTTCTATAGCGATATTTTACATAACTTTTTAATAATAGTTAATAAATATATATTATATCAACCATTATAAAAAAAAATATTAATCATTATAAATAAAATACCACATATAAAATGTGCCTATATATTGAATTTGTAACTCCAGGTTAAATGACCGAGAGGTCATTGTCCGTTTTTCTCAATCGATTTGGCACATACTATACTCTCATATGAAAAAATAAAAGAAATTAATAAATGTGATGAAGAAATGTATCTATTAACATACATTAAGGGACATACCATTCTCGGGGTTAATGTATCCTTTCCTTATAAGGAAATCTAATAGAACAGGGGCACTTGTGGTTTTGAATTGTGGACTGAGCGCCCTCTGAATACATTCTTCGGCTGTTAACAGTTCAAAACTCTCCACTTCACCGTCTGCATTTTGTGGAATAAAATCGAGTGGAAGCTCTAAATCATACACATATTCCGTGTTTGGAAATAATCCCCTTTCACTTTCGAAAAAGAAGCTGCAAATTACAGTTAGGTAAAATTAATAATAAAATTGTTGATAAGGAGTACTTAAAAGAAACTACTCAAAGCTTAGCAATCAAAGTTTGGCTTATAGAAAGAATTTATTTTCGAATTCATGTACCAACTCATAAAAAATAACAAACGAAAGGCTATGATAAAAAATAAATTAACTCCGAATGTTAGCTTTATTATTTATATACATACACACACCTATTATTTATTATGTTTGAATCTTAACAGGAATCCTAAAGATGGTCTCATGGACAGGGCAGAGTTTTTTAAATATTTTATAATGTATATACAATTTTTCGTATGATATAGGACATTAAATGAAATCACATGTAGTGCTAATTGATAGTAATTTTTTAAAATTAATCAATTTAAAATTTGTTCAAAGTTATCCTAATGAAATAAAATATTTCCTTATAATTGTGAACCCTGTCAGTCAATTGACCTCTCTGTTTGCGATTTTTGGTACAGTTTGTTCCTTAATTATTTATTGGCAAATATTGGTAGTTCAAGAAATATTCACAAATGGTGCATGAATTTCTGCAAATACGATACCGCAAAACATTATGTGTTTTCATTTAATGTCATACTTAGAGCAACACATTGTATACAAGAATTGCATACTTAAGGTTTAGAATACAATTAGAATTAGATTGAATGGGCCCTCAATATAAGTGTGTTCCATTTTGTTTCCATTCATGTTGCTACTTTTTAAATGTATTAGATTATTTAAATTGGTTGTGGTTGGTGGCATACAAATTTTGCATGTAATATGCATTACATATATTTTAAGCAATGTAAACCAAATAACTTAAAAGTTGGTGTTGCATAGAAACTTACAAGATTGAAAGCCGAAACAGAAAAATGAAATTTAAAAACAGTGACTAATTATTTTTTGTTTTTCATAAGATTATAGCAAAAAGCATAAATTTGCATTTTGCATTGCAAGCATTTTGCAATAAAAACCCACATACAAACCTAACACATCCAGATGGTATCAACTTCTTTACTAATTCTCCTACAACAGAAGCCTCTTCAGCTGCTTCTTTTATAGCAGTCTCAAGGATACCATAGCCAACAGCTAGGCCTCCACTAACAAAGCAATCCCATTTACCTAAAAATATAATGTTACTTTCTTATGAGTAGAGCCATGCTGCAGTTATATTAGTAGTATAGTTGTAGCATTAATGGGTCGGCTCGACCGGGGAAGGACCACACTCTCACATAATACCAGCGTCAAATAGTAGCTTAATGCTGCTGTGTTTTGTATGGTGAGTGTAGAGAACCAGAGACCCTTTTTTACTGGAAACGAGGCATTCCACTTAACTCCTCACGGATGACAATGCATCTACATTTTGATTCGTAATCGAGGATAGATGTAGATGTCTATGGGCCACAGCAACCACTTACCATCAGGTGGACTGTGTGCTCATTTGTCATCCTATCCTATAAAAAAAATCTTTAAAAAAGAGCTATGCATAAACAAATGAAATGTCTGTTTACAACATGTAACAAAAACCCTGTGGTTCTGTTAAGTGTGTTATCAGAATCAGTGTCGGCATGTAAAAATATTTTTTTTTCAAAATAACATTTTAAAAAATTTAATTTTAATAAAAAAAAATAATTTGCAAATTGTATGTAATTTTATTTCCTCTAACTCACACAAGTATCGATAATGCGGGGTCTTTGACAATCCTCTTACTCTCGGCCAATGCAGAAATAATAAAACCACATAAAATTTGCAAATAATTTTTTTTCATTAAAATTAATTTTTTTTAATGTTTTTTTTTGAAAGAAAAATTATTTCTATATGCTTGGATACTGATTCTGATAAACGTCAACTGCGTAAACCACAGGGTTTTTGTTACATGTTGTATATACATATTGTTAAGAGCTTGAGGTTCGTGACAATAAAAATTGCCGATAGAATTACCTAAATTAACACTTTAATTTTCTTTACAGAAATTTAAACTTAAAACACTAATAATTAATCACACTGATTCACTTTATTCCGCTCCGAAGCTTCGCTTGTCTCGCCAACTTCAATACCTCAAGGTCGCGGATGCCGTCGATGAATGTCTGCACCAGGTTCCCTTCAATGAGCGCAGGTACAGACTGGTATGCTTTTCGAACCATCTTCTCCACCTCAAGGGCCCACTGCTGCAGGTTTTCGTTGCTGCGTTGCACGCGATCTTTTAGCTGCGCGCGAAAGACGTGTTCCAGGTGAGCGTCGCCATATCTCGCCTCCAACGCCTCAAGGAGCTGCTCGTAGGTCACTCTTACCGAGAGCTTCCAACACAGTTAAGACTTGGTCGCGCAGGCCTAGGGTGAGTGCAGTCACGGCTTGGCTTTTATTCCAGCCGTTCGCCTCCATGACGGCCTCGAACTGGATTTTGTAGGCCGACCAGGAAGAAGTCCCATCGAACGGCGGCACTTTGAATCCACGTAGCCAAGGTGTCGTAGTTACTACGGGAGCTGTTGTTCCATCCCCAAGTTTGAGGTCGTCCAGCATTTTCTTCACGTCAGCCATTACGTTGTCAACCCGATTGTTTACTTGGTCGGTTCGGGTTTCAGCTTCCGACAGGCGGTTGTCATGTTGAGCAACCTTATCCTTCACCTCCCGTATCTCTTTTCCGAAGGTAGTGTGAAGGTCCTTCATAAGGAGCCTCTGCTCTTCCTTATCGCGTTGGAGTTGCTCTTCCAAACGACGGGCCTGTTCCTCCTGTCCGCCCCGCAGCTGCTCTTCCAATCGGCGGGCCTGTTCCTCCTGTCCGCGCTGCAGCTGCTGCAGCATCACCATCAGAGCACCTAAGTCAGGTGTTACAGACGTAGGAGCTGCTGACGGGCCGGCTTCCGTGGCCGGCGGCTGGCCCTCAGACATCTGCGGCGTTGCACCACCAAATCTCCTCTGGTCCGTCTCCTGCTGGCGTTGACTTCGGGTACGGACACCCTCCATCTCGTCCTTAGGTAAAATCGGCATGATTTTATCCCACTTCTGACACCAATTATAATTATTATAATATATAAATATTATGCATTATACTGGTGAACAGATGCTGTCTGTGGGGAATGGTCTGCTTGGGTTCGCATTTCAACACATTTATTAGCTTTTATTTTGCATTTTGTCTTTGTTGGTGTGGTTACTCAGTTCCCAGCCTCCATTAAAGTTTTTAAGTTAAGTTTGTTGAATGTATACACATTATTTTGTTTTATAACTTGTTAAGTATTTTTTATAGATTGTTAAGTATTTTTGGTGATCTCTGTTAATATATTACTGTTATAAAATGGAACCAGTTTCATCTACCTCATCTCCATTCAAGGAGTTTGTATAAGATGAAAAATGTCTCACATTAGTGTGAGAACCTAATGAAAATTAAAGTATTTAAATATGTTAAGGAAACCCGGCCTACTAATAAATGTCCTTTAAAACAATATATGAAGGACAAAAAACCGATATCTTGGGCTTATCGAAATCACTGGTATACCAAGTTATGTATTTAATTAATCAGTATCTATTTAATAACAAGCATAATAAATAGAGTTAAATTTTTCATTCTCTTTCTTTACTACTTTATAATATTTTACAGATTTCATCTTGATCTTAACACTTTCACTGTCCGATTTTCAGACACTATAGGAAGACAATAGCAATGACCTGTATATAGTACACAGGACAGTGAAAGGATTAAAATGTTTTTGACTACTGGCAGTAAACACAGAGGCACTGTAGTTGTAAGTTCTATATTGATACCCCTCTACAGTACAGGTTTTCTAACATATTGTTGCAAACCTAGCTGTACAGTCAGCATATTAGTTTTCTAAATTCTTCAATACAATACATGTGCAAGTGCCTTTATGGAGCTGATGCATTCATTTCCTTATAAAAGAGATTTCACCAGATACACCTTTACTGTTACCAAGGGATTTGCTCAGCTTGGAAAAAGTAAACAATGGACCATAGTGACATCTATGCCATGTGGTGGTGGCATAAGAAAATTGCTTTGTGAAATTTCCAGAAGATGTACTGAGGAGAACAGGATCAGACCTAAATGTGTAAGTTTTTTTCTCCAGAATTTTGTAATATTACTACTATATTTTTGCATGCTCTTTAGAAAAAATGCTATATTTGTTCAAAAAAAGGCGGCAACCCTATTCACAACCCATGTGAAATTTAAACTGGCAATCCTATTACAGGTAATAGATCAGAACCTCTCCCACTATATCACCATAATACACTTTTTTACTATAAATAGGATTTTTTGGGAAGAAAGGAAACAGAATAGGGATACTGAGTACCTGTTCTGGGGTTATGGAAACAGTAATTCAATTTGGTCTCAAGGGGTTCAGATGGAGGTTGGAGGTAAAAAGCTCCGGAATGATGCTCGGTACATCACCTTAGCTTCAGGGGGCCACAATCATAATCCATCATGTCTCTTAATATTTCATTGACACTGAGGATAACCACTTCAGTATCTTTAGCCAGTACAAGTCCAAAATAGCCAGTGCTATCTTTGCTGGGGCCAGGAATCCATGAGGATTTCTTCACATAAAAAAGGGAAGGCGAGGAAGCACCAATGTGAAATGAAAAAAATATTTTAGGTACTTTTATAACTTACCAGGCCATGTTTGTTTAGTTAAACTTCTTTGTTGTAACCAGATACAAAGACCTTTTGTTGGATGAGTTAAATAACCATTAACACTAACACCATAATTCCTTATGCCAAAGAGACAAATTGCACTTCTGTCCATTTCCAAAAGACTCTCGTGATAAAACGGTGTACTCACTTCAAAACACTGCAAGTAATCAATATATTAGAAGTGTTTTTATTGTTAAATTATCAATTCAATATGAATAAAATAATAATGTACCTCATCTCGCCAGCCTTTTAAAGCACATATTTCATTTTCTTTGCGTAAAGTCTGTAAAACATCGGCTACTTTTGATGTTCGTTCTTTATACCCTCTAAAAGCTGGATTTAATTCAACAAACTTTCCAGCAACTATGAACACCTTAAATCAACAATATACATATACATCATATATTATGGGATATATTCATTTTACTTGAACAAGACCTGATATTATTTATCAAGTAATTAGATAAGAATGCAAGTACCGAGACTGTGTATAGATTATAATTTATATTACAATAGGTGTAGCAATAAAAATATAATATGATTACCTCTGGAAATCTTTGAAGATGTTTCATGACATCGGGCCGAATTAAGCCTACTTGATGACCTCCCACTATAAATGGTTTACATATGCCTTGGTGTAACCCTTAAATGCAGCAACATAGAAATTTAGTTCCAGATTTTATTAAATTGTCGCAAATGAAACCATAACATACCTGTTAAGTAGAAACAGTTGAATTTTCTGGCAAGTTTTGTGAGTTCCGAAAATTGATACTGAAGTAACGAATTCATATCTTTCATACTTTTTAACACCTTAATTTAGGTATCAATACCAAAGTTTTTATAATTGGAATCATAACACTTACTAGCAAAACACCATTTCCTTTTCTTGCGAACTTGTCTTACAATTCTCTCTAGTATATATTTAGTAATCTATGCCTACAATATATTTATTTAGGGATGCTCGAATTCGATACAAGGTAAACAAGTACTCGATACTTTCCTTTCGATATACCAAGTAATTTTATTACTTTTCTTTCGATACCTAGTAGGTATCGAAAAGTACTTGTATTGAATCGAATCACGCGCTGATTGTGAACACATCTTTGCGCCGCCAATATGCTATGTCGGTGATCCTATCCATGAAGGTTAGAGAACAGGAGAACGATCGCTGTAGAAAATAGTGTCCACAATAGTAACAATAGTGTCCCAGAAATATGGACAAAATAAGTGTAGCTCTGTAATCGCTAAGTTGTCTCAATAAAAGCGGGCTGTTGTGTGATAGTTTGAAATGATTATATTATCATTCAAAGAAAAAAAAAGAAAATAAAGTAATTATTGTTATTTATTAATATTATTCATTAATAAATAAATTATAAATTATGTTTGTTATAATTTTAATTATTATAAATTATTACAAACATAAATTATTAATTAGTATTGATTTATTATTACTTTTTTAATAATATTTCACCATTTTATAATGTTTCTTTTTGTCAATAATTAAAAAATTACTTCGCACATACTAGGTACTTACCAACGGCAACGCGGCTATAAATTCTACAAATTTTCAGGGAGAGGCGAGCTAAACTTTAGCACGTAGCGATCGTTTTCCTGTTCTCCAACCTCCATGATCCTACCCATGGAGGTTACTCCATAATCCTACCGCTATCTGCGAGACAGATTTCCGAAGATAGATAAATAGATATGTAGCAAGCTATTTCCGAACTAAAATGAAAGCCAAGCCTTTGCTACCTACGCTTTAGTTCGTAGACAAAGAAACCTATAGACAAATTGACGCCTTCTGTCGCGTTTGCACACGAAAAAGATAGATTTATGCATACGTCTTGCATAGAAATGAGACAGAGCGGTGTGATTGTTTGTCCCTTTCTCTGTGCCGGTTTTTTTGTTTAGCAAACTACACTTTGCTAAACAACTTTGACAGTTCGTCGCGATCTAACGAGTTAAGAAGTTTGTTTAAGTGAGAAAAAAGTGTTTTGAGCTTAAGATTGGTGAATCTTGTTCAGTTTAGTTCTTAAAACAATTAAAATTTTTATCTAATTATGTTTAAAAGTCATAAAGATTATTGTAAAACCTAAAACTACGTTATCGTCCTTTCTCACTCAAGGCCACGCTAATCATTAGTCTATAAGTTTCTCTGTCTACGCTTTTGTTGCTATACTTGATTGTTTTGTCTTTTTTTCCATGTCGGTCAATAATCCCGAGCCTGACGCATAGATGACGCTGTTAGAGAAAAAATATTTTTATTTTTTTAAAGTACAGACTTCGATCAACAATAAAAGTTTGATCGAAGAGTACAGACTTCTATATAATTTGTGCAAAATTTTCATAACTTCTAAATTATTTATTTATATTGTGCCTTTTGGTCCCACCCAAAATGACGAAAAACTCAAATTGCAGCTAAAAAGTTTATGGCATATGTGTTTCGGGATATGCATGGTATAATATTTATAGACTATCTACAGAAAGTACACGTGGTGGAGCCACGTTGCAGCTATATTATGGTTGTAGCACGAATGGGTCGGTTTTAGCAGGGAAGGACCAAGCTCTCGTAGAATACCAGCGTAAAATAGCAGCTTTGCGTTTCGTATGCTGAGTGTAGAGATCCGGAGACCCTTTTTTACTGGAAACAAGCGAAGCATTCCATCTTAGTCCTCACGGGTGACAACGCATATATATTTTGATTCTTAATCGAGGATAAATGTAGATGTCTGTAGGCCACACACAGACCACCCGGCTTACGAGACATGAAAACATTACGATTCTCTATCTAAATTAGTTTGTCAAGGTTAGAAGAAAGAAAGATGTGCGGGTGACGCCGGACACGTAATTTAGTGATGTGTCACATCCATATATCGTACGCGTAAATATGGGAGACTATGAAAACGTAGCGTAATTATAAACAAATGAATGATGCGTAAAATACACCGTTAAATACATGTAAAGTTCCTTAAAATATATACATGTATTTTACATGTCATTTACAACGCTAATCGCTTACCATAAATCCGTTAAGAGCGGAATGTGCCTAAGAAATACACAAACATAATACATACACTAGAAAACCATGACTTTGCTTGGTCCTCGGCTGCGACAGTCCGCTGAAAATATCTACAGTAGGTAAAATTAAGGTAATATAAAAATTTAAACGAAAATTACCAATTTAGCCAAATATGGAGTTGGTATTGATACATATAGTCATTTTCTTCGAACCTTCATTTTCAGTCAGGAGTAAAACGTTTGGAGCATATTATACTGTTTGAAGTTGGAAACCAACTTTCGTCTCTCATAGTTTTCGAGATCAATATCCCTTTTGTGTCTAAGCAAAATTTTGGGAATCTAAGCAAAATTAATTCTGATAAGTAATTAGTTAATAATAATAATAATAATAATCTTTATTTCTCTCTACAATTGCAGTTTATAACATCATTACATCTAATTTTTTTTAAGTAACTTACAAATGCTAGTTGTAGAGACTGGTGACAATACTAGGATTCCCTGTGCTACAGCCACCAGGCCTCCACCACCGGACAAATAATCATGGAAATTATGTACTCATGAGAAGTGTATTTGAAAAGAAATATAATATAATTTTTAAAAGAGAAAAAAAAAACAACAAAATGTGTGCATGCATGCGCGCGCGCGCGGGTTTGTGTGTGTGTGTGTGTGTGTGTGTGTGTGTGTGTGTGTGTGTGTGTGTGTGTTCAGGATGATCAAATTGATTTGATAAGAGCCTCACTATTATCATAGTCTTTAGTCAGTAACCATGTTTTAATAGTAAATTTACAGTTTGTTCTTGTTAAAACATATATAACCAGTATACGATTTACTCTATTATATAGTAAAGGTGCAATATAACAAAAGAACCTCTTTGCAAATGCTGTTCTAAATTTTTGGTGGACATAAACAATATCCTTTCTGCGTACACGTTGTGTCGACGGGTCATAGGCGGTATTAGAATGTTGTTTATTAGTACCGTTAGTACATTCCATTCCTTGTATAAATCCCTGGTCGGGTAAAGGAAATGGTGAAACTTTGCCACCATTAGGATGGCTCTTTGGGCTACCTCCAGCGACATTACATAGGATTTAGCTGCACCTCCCCATACAGAAAAACAGTATGTAAATATGGATTGACAAAGGGTGAAATATAGGGCGAAATATATTTATATTCAGCAATTTGGCGAAGTATTCTAAAGACGTTTATGAATTTACGTGCACGAGCCGTAAATTGCTCAATATGAGGCCTAAAAGATAGGTTCTGGTCAATAATTATTCCCAGGTGTCTAATTTTGTCAACAGTTTCTAATCCGGTACAACTACATGCATTTACCAGATCGCAGGTATGAGCTATAAGCGAAAGGTTTTCACCTAAGGGGAGAGAGACATTACGGATTGCAAATGTTACATATTTAGTTTTATCGATATTAATCGTTAGCAAGTTCCCACTTAGCCACTTAAGAACTCTATTTAATCCAGATTGTGCACAAGCAAACGTATCTTTCCAATTATCGCCGCTGAAAACCAAAGCTATATCATCCGCAAAGCACAAAATTCTCCCATTAGATACCTTCATGGAACACAGATCATTGATGTAAACCAAAAATGAAGTCGGATCCAGTATACTGCCTTGAGGTATTCCGTACGTTATTGTTTCTTCATCACTGGTATGCTCTCCTATTTTAACGCATTGTGTTCTACCTGTGAGATAACTTTTAAACAGATCTAGCTGTAAATTCCTGACACCAAGCCCCTCAAGTTTATTTATCAAAAGTGGGATAGAGACAGTGTCAAATGCCTTAGCTAAGTCCAGGAATATCGCGAGATATTTTTTGCCATCATCCATCCCCGGAACTATACGATCTATGAGCTCGTGAACCGCATCATCTGTAGACCTACCAGCACGAAAACCATATTGTTGCTCTGAAAGAAGTTTGTTTGTTTCAAGGTAGTTCACAAGTCTTTTATTAATAACACGTTCCAGAATTTTTGACAGAGATGTTAAAATTGATATGAGTCGGTAGTTTGAGACAATGCCTCTATCTGGTGATAGAGGCATTGTCTCAAAAATTTTGAAAATGGGGCGGATAATACTTCTCTTAAAAGCGCGAGGAAAAATGCCAGTAGAAAGGCAGATGTTGCATAGGTATGTTACCGGGGGAACAAGTATGTCTCTGTAAGTCTTTAACAAGTCACTTGATATACCGTCCCATCCTGTAGCACAATTGTTTTTTAACGACATAATGAGATTATGTACCTCCTCGTAATCAGTATCTAGCATAACAAATGATTTATTTTTAGTTTGATTTATATCAGGTTTATTGTAATTACTTAGCAAAATTTTGTTAGCTAATTTCACACCGACGTTAGTATAATATTTATTAACTTCATTAACAGATTCTACCGGAGTGGAAAGGGGTCCCAGCAAATCGTTTGCCTCTAAACTATGCTTATTGAGATGTGTTGCACTTTTTACTACTTCCCATATCTTTTTACTGTTATTGCCGGCTTTTTGAAGTTCACTGCTTTGATACTGTATTTTAAGTTTTTTAAGAATATCATTACAGAAATTGCGATATCTACGATATGTTATTTTTAGGGTTTCATTATCGGGTGTTAGTTTAAGTTTCTTATGTAGTTTATCACGATTTCTCATGCATCTTAAGATGCCAGGAGTTATCCATGGCTTGAATGTGGCTTTACGGTGGGACAATCTTATATTTTAGTGTTGTTTTCCAGTGCTTTTGATAAAGTTTCTACTAAGAAATTTGCTACTTCTTCAGGATTATTATTGTCATATATTTGACCAAAATTTGCGTCTAATAAAAACTGCTTAAGACCAACGTGATCAAGTTTTGGAATAAATTTGTAAAAATAGCATTTAGGTTGTTTGATTTTAAGACTAAGGCTTACAGCTTCATGATCAGTTAAAAAGTTTGTATAACAAATGTGACATGTGACCATTCGAGTAGACGACTTAAAAGCTGGAAGAATTCCATGGGATGCTGTTAAATTTAAATGTTGTTCGGCTTGCTGGTTGGTTGGTTGGTTATCAGAGGAAATATCTATATTAATATCGCCCATTAAAACGATATTTTTGAAGCATTTTAGTTCAGTGAGAAGTTGGTTCAAGGATGAAAAAAAATTTTGTTGCATCGTTTTTAAAGCAGTATGGACGATAAATCCCTATCACTACTGTATGTGTTCCAAATTTAATTATCAAGCAGTTAGCTTCTTGGAAAGTAGGCTCTTCAACGGTGCATTTCAAGTTATCTTTAATATAGATCAGCACTCCGTCGTTCTGATTGTAAGTTTTTTTCGTGGCATGAGAAGAATACGATTCTAATAAAGGTATTGAACCAGAGCAGGACAGCCAACATTCAGTTAGGATAATTAGATCAAAATCTACGTGCATCCTTTTTATAAGCACAGTTAAACCATCAAAGTTTCGTTTTATGCTTCGAATATTTTGACATAGAATATTTGTGTAGTTTTTTGGTTGACTTATTATAGGGCATACATCCTCAGGATTGCAAATATAAAATTCTGAATTTGTAATATCATCTAGATTATTTGATATTTCATTTATGTTAGTTAGCGCCTTATATGTACGAGGGTGGATTGAAAAGTACCCGGCCTAACACAGATCCATTCAATTCTAAAAATCAAATCTATCCACATTATTTAGTTCAGTTCAGACTAATTCATTGTGTGAAGTTCGAAACGTGTGCGATAATTAGTTGTGATTTTATAAATTTATTAACAAAGTAATCGGACATAATTTCCGCGAATGGTGCAAATCGAGCAGCGTGCCGTTATTAAGTACCTCCATAAGAAGGGGCTATCATCAAAAGCCATCCATGATGACATGGTCAGTACATTAGGCGATTGTGCTCTGTCATATTCATCCGTCAAAAAATGGATAGCAGAATTTAAGCGTGGTAGAGAGAGTGTGAAAGATGAACCCCGCTCTGGAAGGCCTTCGACGTCAACTACTGACGAAAATATTAAAAAAGTACTTGATTTAATAATGGGAGACCGCAGATTGAAAATTAGAGAGATAGCCGAGATTATAGGCATCTCTTATGAACGAACTCAAAACATCATTGTCAACGAGTTGGGTTTCCACAAGGTGTCTGCGATGTGGGTTCCGCGACTGCTTTCAGTTGAACAAAAAAAGGACGCGATTGACTATTTCACGCGACTGTTTGGAGTTATTTGAAGCCGATGCGGATGATTTTTTGAATCGTTTTGTTACTATGGACGAAATATGGGTTCATTACTATACACCGGAAACAAAACAACAATCAAAACAGTGGAGAAGACCTGGTTCACCACCCCCTAAAAAAGGCTAAGTCGATTTTGTCGGCAAATAAGGTGATGGCTTCAGTATTCTGGGACTCGAAAGGTGTGATTATGATTGATTATCTTGAAAGGGGTCAGACTATAAACTCTGATTACTACTGCACCTTACTACGTCGTTTACGAGAGGAAATAAAAGAAAAACGTCGAGGAATGCTCAGAAGAAAAGTCCTGTTTCATCAAGATAACGCCCGTGTTCACACGTCAGTACAGTCAATGGCTGAAATTCACAACTGTGGCTTTGAACTGTTACCGCATCCGCCGTATTCACCTGATCTGGCACCATCAGACTTCTTTCTGTTCCCTAACCTAAAAAAGTACTTGGGAGGTCAAAGATTTTCGACAAACGACGAGGTCAAAGCAGCTGTAGAAGCATATTTTGACTCTAAGGAAGAATCATTTTTTTTCAACGGTCTAAACGCTTGGAAGGGGAGGTAGCAAAAGTGTATTGAACTTGATGGTGATTATGTAGAAAAATAAAAATATCACTGATTTAGTATTTGTTTATTTTCTTGGTTAGGCCAGTACTTTTCAATACCCTCGTATATTTATTAATAGGTGACGAAATGATTGCAACCACGTCATACTATTGACTAATATTATATTTATAAAATTAAGATGGCCTAATATTTTATACCGCATCTTATTATTAAGGTTATGATAAACTATTTTAAATCCTAACGTATAAATAATCAAATAGTAACAAGTTATTTTATACAATATTATTTTTTTACAGTTCATGGCAATCTAAAAACTGTGAGACTTAATATAATTTGTGTTGTATAGTTTTTGTTTAGTAAGAAAGTGAGTAAATTGTGATTGTTGATTAAGTTTGATCTTAAGTAAACAAGTTGTGGTATGCATTAAATGATTGTGAGTTATGTGTGGGAGTGTATATGAAATAGTGTAGGTTATGTTTATTAAAAAAGAGGATAGCTTAGTGTATATTTTCTTAAACTTAACTAATTTAACATAAGAGTATTCTAGGATAACTAATATTATAAAACATCTTACGTCTAGTCACTTAGTATTTCTAAATTCGGAGAGCTGGGATTCGCTTCTTATGAGAATGTGTGGATCTCCTTCTTTACGGCGCAAGTACACATTGTCGTTTGACGTCCAACAATATGAGTGACCCACAGTTTTGGCTATATCTCTTGCAAGAAAGTATAGTCTTTTAGATTTTGTTGTCAGATGTTCACTTACGTAAATTGATGATTTAACATTCATAATTCCCATATGATTACAGTTAAGTGAGTCTTTAGGATTGTCTTTAATATTGCCGTTTTACTGCATCAATTACCTGACTCTTATGTAGACTACTCCCTAACTCAGCTACGATTGTGGAGGATGTTGCATCAGCCTTGCTTGGCAAACGATAAACATCATGAAGATTATTTTGTCCCATAAATACATTTAAGTTCGTGATTAGGGCGTGTGCATATTTAAATAAAGTCACCCTATTTTCACCTCTTATTTTTGGAACATTACGTATCTCAATACTTGTCTTGCGAATGTATTTCTCCAAGGCGTCGAATTTGGTATTTATCGTGTTTATTTGTGACTCAAGAGCTTTGCGATGCTTTTCAATGTTGGAGACATCTTTTTGCAGGTTATCTATTCGGTTTGAGACGAAATTTATGGACTTTTCTATTTCCGAATTGGTTTGTTGTATGATTACATTTTGATTTGTGACAAGTGCTAGTTTTTTTTCTATATTGTCTAATCTTGCATTTTGATTATTAACAAAGGTTTCCAGCATTGTCTTGAGGTCGTTAATATCATCCGTAGAGACTATTTCAGTTTCGTTATCAGCGTCGCTAGTTCGGCGCCGTTTATTTTCTCGTTGTGTGATATTGGAAGACGCTAATTCAGGGTTAGAGACAGTTCGCAAAGTATCACAAGGCGGTGATCTAAGCATTTTAGGCATAGGTGAAAGCGGTCTTGGCGATAGTAAGTAAAACCGCCAGAAGAGTATTCGAAGAACACCTCGTAGAAAGAAAGTCACTTACTTATAGGAGTAAAAACTTAGAAGAATCTTAAGAAGTGACACACTCAGAGACTAGGAGCACAGATACTTAAGTTGGTATATTTGAAGTAAAAATCTCGGGATATGTTTATTAATGAATGATCGGCGACGTTTATCAATAATATTCCAAAAGGGGCACAAGGAGAACAGATATTGTAAGATATTTTAGTTTTCTGTACCTGTTGTTTGTACTTAATGTCATTCCATATGCAACAGAATTGTACCAGGATAACAGAAGCACAGTGAGGAATCGTTTTGCCAAAATGTCCGGTCCAATGTCAACAGAAATATACTATATAGTACCAGGGTAGTATATAAACTAAAGATTTAATGCTTCGATGTGCACAAGCACGCTTCTGTAGTGACGAAAGTATTGTTAGATGACACGATATAATACTAGGCGAGCAGAAAATAGAGGAGGTAAAATCAATTCGTACAGCCACGGCTCAAAGCAAGTCTCTTGCCGTTACTGTTGTCCGCAAAGCGGGTATGATAAATAGAGGTTATCTCGCTTATTCACTTTACTATTTATGTATTATTTAAGTAGGTTTATTGTACGTACTTATTTGGCAATATTGTACGCACTTATTTGGCAAAGTTAATAACCTAACTAAAGCTTGAAGTAGCATACATAAAGTTAGAGGCTAATTGCTATACTTTGGGAATGCATTAGATTTACTCCCTGGTGATATGAAGCAGATTTTCCGCTACTTAAAAAATTATGGGCGATTAAATTTCACCAAGGTTTTAATACAAAAATGGCAAAAGTTTTCGTCAAAGTGCTATGGTTTTGGCAGGCAGTAGGATAAATCTCTGATGAGAAGCAGTTCTTGAAGATCTGGAGATTTCTCCATACTAACTGTCTCCCACCGATAACTACTCATAAATCATTTTTACCACCGATGGCTCCTTCTTGGAGTACAATTATGTCAATGAGTGATTCAGTCAGTAAGTAAGTGCGTGAGTGGGTTTGTAAAACTGTAATTTCGATTTCAAATTATAATTACAAATAGATTAATAGACAAATATAATATAATGACTGTTCGTATACACAAAATATAATAACAGATTAAATAGTCGATCGAAACTTGCATCGATACTTTTTTGGGTATCTCTACTTACACGTGCCGCCTGCAGCCACCTCTGATTAACAGACAGAGACGCAACTTTAATACTGCGTGCTTGACAAGGATAACCTTAGAACAACGACCAGAATATGTTGAACTCTCACGTTTTTAGTATTTTAAGATTACTAAATATTGCACTTACCGGTGAAACGTGATTTTATTCTTCTTGAAATTATGTTTCCTGCTATCACTACCACACCACTTTACTGCGCAAGTAAGCATGTTTTACTGTTTTTTATTTCAAAAAATTGTAGCGCTAGTACGCAGTGCACAGGTCTGTAATCTGGTCACTACTAAACAGGGTAGCGTTCCTGTTCAACTATATAGGCTCTGGTTGAGCTGATGAAGTACAGAAATTTGTCGCCTTTCTTTACATGTCTCGTAGGCTGGGTGGTCTGTGAGGCCACAGCATCCACTTGCCATCAGGTGGACTGTGTACTCGTTTGTCACCTTTATTCTATAAAAAGGGCGAAAGGTCAACAGTGAATATTACATGTCGTTATTAGTGCGTTTGAAGGAGGAATTCGCAAAAAAAAGACCTCAAATGCAAAAGAAATAAGGTCTTTTTTATCAGGATAATGCACTATGTCACAAGTCTGTTGTCACTATGGTGAAACTTAAAGAGTTAAAGTTTGAGTTGCTTGCTCACCCACCGTATTCGCCACATTTAGCCCCCAGCGACTATTATTTGTTTGCTAACCTAAAAAAATGCTATCGGGAAAGAAATTTGCCTCAAATGAAGAAGTGATTTACGAAACTGAAGTGTATTTTGAAGGGTTGGACAGATCGTATCATAAAAAAGGCATTAAAATGTTAGAGCGGCACTGGACTGACTGTATCACTCTGTAGACAATATTCATGTATAAAATTGAATTTTGAACAAATTTGTGTTTTTCTTACTTACGTTTGGGACTTACTGACTGATGTGATATATAAAATATTTTGATTCTTGGTCCACCTACATATTTTACAGAAATGAATAAATCTATGGCAAAATGCAAGCATTTTGTTACTGCTGTGAAGTTCTGTGGCAGCACGTTCAATTTCAAAATGAAAGTTATGTTCATTCTTAATTGTATTATCTATAATAAAAATAAATAAATAATAGTACTTATGTTATGCATTTCATTAGACTATTTGAACTACGCTTACGCTATACAAATAACTTACGCCATACAGTATAGCGTAAGTTAGTTTTGCGTTTGTGTCATGTTATGATTACGAAAATATTAACAGTTTGTAGCTTAGTACCTTTGTACAATTTTATACAATCAAAAAATATGTTAGTACCTAAGTATATTGTCCATCACATCACATAATTTTTATGATCCACATAATACACAAATATCAACCTAATACATAAAATTATTGATTATTTATTTACACTAATTATATGTCTATTTATGTACACTAAATATTTATTTAGACTTTAAATGTTTATTCACAAAGAAAGTTATATATGTTGTAATATTAAAAAACGCAAGAAGTTTTTAAAAACTTAGTTCCTCGAGACAATAACATTCATCAATCATCCCTTGCATTTGTTAACCGCCTAAAATTCTATTAGCAAGTAGAAACACAGTCAACTGGTCAAGGTCGCAATTTAAAAAAAAACTTTATTATAATGAACTTTAAGTTTTTCCAATTGTATATAAATTCGTATGGGCATTTACATTTTTAAAAAAACGCACCGATTACTATATTGCCGTCTCTTTTTATCTTGCGTGTAAGCCATACCTATCTCGAAGGAACTCTTTACTCTCGTTGTGCGAGTCGAATTCGTGTTACGTACCTATAATCATCTTAAAAAGGGTATGTTCCAAAATGTTTCCAGTATACTGGCGAATGCAAATGACGTCATTAATTGACGCCGTATTTCACCATATTCGATACAACGAATCACCAATATTGCGTCGGTTTACGACGTCATTTGCATTGGCCAGTGTACTGGGTTATATTTCGGAACATACCCATATTAATCTGTTCAAAACGAAACGCTTACGCGTGCGCCGGTCGTTGTGTGTGTCAACTGCGTATGTAAAATAATCGTTACATTTTTGTACACGAAACTGGGTATACGATTATCAGGCTCATAAGCAGTTTCTGAAACCAATTACCTTAAATAATGCTCACCTCTAGCTCGTACCTTTTACAGAGGGGTATGTCTTACTATGCCATCTCCTTTAGTTGAGTACTCAAAATTTACAGGATACAATTTAGCGGAATTTTGTGGATTTTTGAAAGCAAATTTTTGTAAAATATAGAGTATTTTGGTTAGGGTTTAGTGCATCTTTTTTTCTTCGTACGGCAACACTGGCTTTTGACCATCTACCCACAAACTAATAAGAGTTTTAACGCCATCTACTGCTGATGTGACTACCTATCGGATTTTGATAAGGTTTTGTCTAGCGATAGGTGTTGAATCAACGAACTAGTTGAATCAACCGTTGATCTCCTGTCAACGTATTAACGTTTACTGTTTATGAATCAACAAGTTGAATACGTCAACGACGTTTATGAATTCAACTTGAGCATTTCGTTGAATAAAAGAAAACGTAAACTCAACCAACTGACCAAATTAAAAAAACTTACGTTGAAAATAGACTGCGAGTGACGCGACGGTCATTTCATGCAATTTGAACTCTAAGAAACGTACTAAAGAGTTTATTTTCGAAATATTTATTTTAAGAATAGTACTTATGACGATGTTAGTGAAATGGCGCGCCCCACTCATGTCGCCCGAGGGAAACAAGTTAACACTAGTTTCTCTGTTTACGTTTAAGAACAATATGAAGTTCGCTTTCTCTAATTTTTTATTGAAATTTTGTGACAAATTGCGTGGAAGTTCAGAAGTTTTTTGCGACTTATCGTAAATGTTTAATGTCTATAGTAACAGTGTAAATTTGTTTGTATTAGTATAATTGTGTATATTTGCATAAAATAGTACTACTTAAGGTACAAAATTGAAAATGTCGGGACGTACGGGTAAATGTGAATTGTGGCTGCATTTCGAAAAAGACGATTCTAGCGGGAAAGCTGTCCGTAACGTACGCAAGGAGAAAATATCATACAATTTAACCACAGCAAATTTAAAAAGCCACTTAAAACGAAAACATATTTCAATATTTTCATCAGAATTTTCGTCGTCTCAATCTTCAAGTAACCCGCCTATATCCGAACTTAATTCACTACATTCAATGCCATCAACAAGTCAAAGTGTCGCGATTTCAGTTCAGGTTCCAGCCGCGAGCACCAATGAGACTGTGGAGACATCGTCAGGAAGTTAACTTCAACGCATGATGGTTGATTTCGTCATTAAAAAAAATTGTGCAGAACAAAATAAACTTATTAATTTAGATTTATTAGATTTATGTACAGACAGCTAACATTCGTTTTCCATCGTGGAAGAAAGGGCTTTTAGAATATTTTGTCGGTGAATACCAGGATATGAGCTTCCTACTAGAAAAACGCTTTCAAATTCTATAATGCAACAGATATATGCAAAAACTTTCGACTTGATGCAAGACCAATTAAGAAAAGAAGTCCATTCTATTTGCTTGACTGCTGATATGTGGACATCACTAAAAATCGAAAGTTACATAGCCCTCATAGGACATTATTTAACCGACGAGCTGGAATTCAAAACAGTTTTGTTGGGTTACTGTCAGTTTCTCGGCCACCATACTTCTGATAATATTGCCACAGAAATCACAACACTGGTTGACAAGTTTGGATTAAGGGAAAAAGTTAACTTCATAGTAACAGATAATGCCGCAAATATAGTAAAATCTGATTCTGATCCTGATGATGAAGATTCTGTCCAACTTGTTAAAAATGATATTGCAAAAGTAAAAAGGATCTTGGCCCATGTAAAAGCACGCTTTCATCAGAGAAATTGCAAAAATATCAAGTACAACAAGGTAAGGAACCAAAACCTTATCCAAGCTGTGGATACGAGATGGAACCCAACATATTTTATGTTGAAACGATTTGTTGAACTTGAAGAAGCTATTCGAGCTACTTTAGCTTTAAGAGACGGTCGTTTGCCTGTAATCACTGCCGAAGACTGGACACTATACTCACAATTGTGCCAAATATTAAGACTTTTGGAAGAACTAACCTGTTCAATGAGTGGACAAAAATATGTAACAGGAAGCTCCGTAATAGTTGCCACAGCACAGTTGCACAAGCGTGCGAAAAATAAATGACAGAACAGATCCATTAGCTGACGCAAAAGACACCGTTCGGTTATTAAAATCTGGGTTGGTTAACCGGTTCGAAATAATTGAACAAAGTGGCACCTTTTCGTTGTGCACTTTTATGGACCCCGGTTCAAAATGCAAGGTTTTTCGGATCAACAGAAACACAAAAACAAAAAGAAAAAGTTAGGAAAATGATTGCAGCGTTGATCGCACAAACAATAGGAAACACCACAGCGTCTACAGTCTCGTTAGTAACTAACGATGTTAACAGAAATTAAAATGATGAACTAAGCCCCTGGAACATTTTGATCAAATAATTGCGAGTACCACAACTCAAGGAACGCCACTTTCAAAGGCCATCAAAGAGGTAGACATGTACCTCTCCGATGAGTTATTACCTCGAAAGAACCAATCAGGAAATTTGAATTGCCCCCTAGAATGGTGGAAAAAATATCAATTTGTGTACCCTAATCTAAAGAAATTATTTGTGAAGCACTGTAATATAGTGGCCATGTCCATTCCTTGTAAATGGATGTTCTCAAAAACTGGTCTTATTATCAACCAAAGACGTACAAGGCTGACCACCAGCAAAGTTGAGCAATTCACCTCAGGACCGATTCAAGGGGTATGAATTAAATGTGAAATAAAACAAATTGACGAATGTACATACAATCAACAAAATCAACATAAGAAAAATGGAAAAATACAAAAAAATATAAAAAACAAAACTGTAAAAAAACATATTGTAAATAATAATTGATTTGTGTAAATAGGATCAGATGATCTTTTAAATACGCCTTAGTAGAATATGGTTTATAGCTAATTGTAATCAGTAAGTCCTAAGTCTGAAAAAAAGTATGAAGGGAAGGTCATCTAAGTATTACCATCAATCAAACGTTTTCCAATATATACATTGAATCAAATTGTTTCTAAAATTTAACTTCGCAGAGTTGAATAAAAACCGTTCATTAAAAGCACGGTGTTTACGTTGAAAGTTGACATTAGTAGTACGTTAACTCATTGACTAATACAACTATATATATAGTTTTATTTTGTCATTTTGTGCTCAAAAATTATTATATCTTCCTAATGGAAATGGAGCGAGAGCAATTTTTCTATAATTTTTTGTATTTGAATAAATAAAAACAAATTCTGGCATGCTTCATTCAGCGCACACATAATTAAAAATTGTTTTATTGTGGCCGGATATCCGAAACAATATGGCGGCGGCACGCCAGTGCAATATAGTGTCAATTGACAACGTCATTTACATTTGCCACTTTGCCAGTGTACCTGTACTGGGTTGTATTTCGGAACATACCCTATGTTGTGCAATTTGTATTGTATCGCTTGAGATTCGTCCATAGATTACTGTATATATGTATATATACTAGAGAGATTCGTCTCTATTTCAGGTATACAAAAAGTACTTTGTGTGTAATGTGTATCGCTTTATGCAGAAAGACGAGCATAGAACATAGAACTTTATCGGTACATGCTGGGTATGTTCCGAAATACAACGCAGTGTACTGTCCAATGCAAATGACGTATCATTTGACACTTTATTGTACTAGCGTGCCGCCGCCATATTGTGTCGGATATCCGGCCATAATAAAACAATTTTTAATTGTGTGTTTGCCGAATGAAGCATGCCAGAATTTGTTTCTATTTATTCAAATACAAAAAATTATAGAATAATTGATGGTATATCCATTAGGAGGATATAATGATTTTTGGAGCACAAAATGACAAAATAATCGCCAACACTTTTCCATATGGCGCAATATACAATATACAATGTCCAATGTTTTGGAACGAATCACCAGTATAGCGACGATTCATGACCAAGGAACATACTACTCTCTAACGAGTGATCTTGTGAGGGATCTTGGACAGTACACTGCGTTGTATTTCGGAACATACCCGCTACTTGTGAAAGACCCAAGAAAAACGAGAATGGAAGAGAAATAAAAAGTAACAAATAATTGTTTACAACTTTTAACAAAAGTGTTGACAATGAAAATGGATAATAAAGGCATATTAAATGAAATATCCCCGGTGTTTCGACCTTATATTCAAAACTTATATCATGATTTGGAACTAGGTGAGTGTAAAAAATAGACTTTTATTTTTCAGCCTTTTTAGGCATTTTAATTTTCAGCTAAATGCGCCTGTTGCAAGTTTTCTAAATATAACTCATTATTATTTAAAAAAAATTGCATTAACTCACTGTAGTAACAGGCTGTTTGGTGAGTGCAGTGACAATACCTTTGCACTGCCCTTATGACAATAACAAGAATAATTATATTGATTTTTCATCTAGAGAGATCTCTTAATGTCCTTACATTACATAAAATACTATATGCTTAGATTATTTACTCTCAAATAATCTAAGACTATATGAAATACTCCTCTAGAACAGGACAAAAAAATACAGACCATTATTCTAACCATTCTATTCACTGCTGCATTTGAGCAAACATTACACTCAATGTTTTGAAACTTAGTTTTAACCCTTTCTCTGTCCCATGTACTACATATGGTCATTGCTATTGTCTTATTATTGTGTCTTGAAAACTGGACTGTGAAATTGTTGTGTTAAAGCTAGATAATTGGTGAGATGTTAATTTTGTCTATATAATGTTGAAGTAATAAAGGCAGTTTTTATTCATCTAAATGAGATTAGTAAAAGAAATAGAACTGAAAAAAAAGTAAAATACTGATAAAAAATTTCCAGACAAATGTCGAAATGTCTTGAAAACTTCTCAGAACTGCCAGCGGAAGGTCCAAACAGCCTAGAATGAATGCCATGCAAAATGGGAATGACTGCATGAGGGGTGATCCAAAAGTAACAATGAATATTAAACACAGTGGTTAAAGTAAATAAAATAATTTATTTTTCTACATAGTCTCCTAACTAGTCAATGCATTTATTCCATCTTTTTTCTAAAACCAGAATTCTTGTAGAAAAAAAATATCTTTGTCTTAACCCTCTAAAAAAGCCTCAACAGTGCCTATCACTGCTATTGTCTGCAAATTTCTTGTCTCGAAGATTTTACACAAGCCCCAGTTGTTGTGGGTTCAACATTTTTAGATGTCAGGCCCCAATCAGCAGTGATTTGGGGCTACTGTCGAAGGCGCCCCCAATATCTAGAAAGGCACAAAGAGCTATTTCTTTATCCTCCAGTGCTTTTTCGACCCATGACACTGATCAGGGCTGTTTCCGTAGATTTGCCTCTGTGGTAAGCATGCTGTTTGTAATGAATGGGCCTCATAGCTAGAGCTACATCCTTTATGTATATATATAACCTTTTACAATGTCTTAAGGAGAAAGGAAGATAGGATATAAATAGAACTTTGACAATTGTCCATCGTTCTGGAATATATTACCATGCAAAACTTGTCCTGAAGATTTTTACCGGATAGGAAAGAATTATATCGATATCCCTCTGTAGTTGGATGGGAATTATTCCATCCTCCCCGCTTGTTTTAAATGGTTGAAAGGAGTCAACAGCCCACTGCACCAGGTTTCGCCTTATTATCTTTGCAGCCTTACACCGGCCCTCATCACAAGGCTTTCGTAGGGCTCTGAAAGAATTCAAGGCTGAAGTCTTCTGTGACCCTGGGAAATAGGTTGATGCGAGTAACTCCAATGTTTCGGTTTCACTGTTAGTGAAGTTACCATTATTTATTTTTAAGAAGCCCGATCTGATTAGGTTTAGCTTTCGATAGCATTTTGTGTAGTCCTGCACTGCGAGGCAAAGACTCAAATTCCTCCACAATGCTCTCTTGGCTTTCCTAATTTCTTTATTATATTCAGTTAGGGCTGCACCATAAATATCACTCTTTGGTTTTCTTAGCCCTATTAAATAGTTTTCTGGTCTTTTCCCTAAGTTCTATTTGCTTAGTATTCCACCAAGGAAATTTTCGTGTTGAGGTCTTGGTTTTGATTGGATAACTGTCCTCGAAAGCTTCATGGATACCTATGGTTACTGTCTCCGTCGCTAACTCCAGACCTTCAATCGTTTTGATGCTTTTAGGAAACGCTTCCAATTTTTTTTTTCGCTTTTGGATCCTTAAAAGCAATGGTTTCATAGGTTGGTGATGCTCCAATCACAAACTTAATGTGTTTGTGATCAACCATCGAGTTTTCACTACTAACATGCCATGCCATTTATCCTGGACATGTTATTGGTAGCAAAGGTTATTTCTAACACTTCTTGCCTAGCACGCTTAACAAAGATTGATGTACACCCTAAGTTTAGGCTTACCAGGCGGTTGGAGATGAGAAAATCATAAAGTAACTTACCTCTTTCGTTGATGTTAGTGCTTCCCCAGGCTGTGTGGTGAGCACTAGCATCACAACCCACCACTAGTTCGGCGTTGAGTTTTCGGGCGTACTCCACTCGCTCTAACTCGATGGTAGGATCTGAGTTCTCTCCGGGAAGATAGGCTGAGCAAAAGATGACTCTGGCCCCTGTGCATCCCTTGAGATTTATGAAGGCTGTAACCAGGTCATCATTGCAGTACTCTGGAGCAGCTAAAAGTTCAATATTTTTGTTGTAAATTATACAAGTTCTGGGTCTACTGCCTTTAGTATTGACAAGAATTTTACCGGCAGCCGACAATCCCAGAACTTGACCGTTGGCCACCCAAAGCTCTTGTATGAGGGCGAGGTCAATGTTGTCCTCTGCAAAGCAAACCTCTACCACGGCAGAAGCTGCTGCTACAAGAGCACATGTAGTATATGTACATAGTAGCACATGAAGTACCGGATTAGTGTGATTATACTGTATTATTTTGAGGCTCCTGGCAGCCTCGGGCAGCTGCCCCTTCTGCCCCCCCTTGGCGACGTCCTTGGGTGGTCCTATATAAGAAAAAGAGGGGTTGCGAGTTAACCTGTATCATTGGTCAGTAGTATCCGAAATACAGCATTGCAACTTAGCGAACAGAATATGCACATACATTAATTGTTGAAATTGTGTAATAAGGTATATATTAATAGTCTTTTAAATTTTTGTAGGATTATGCAAGGCTAAAGTTGACCTAGAGAAAGTTGGTGGCAACTGTGACAATGCAGAGACCCAATTCAGGCTTATTCTACCATACTGCTCCAAAAAACTCAAATGGGAAGTAATATTTGATTCTTCTACACCTTGGTTTGCTCCTGATTTTAGATTTGATGATGATAGTTTTCTCAGTAATACCGATAACGAATTTTTGACGAAAAATGTTCCTAGTCTTTCAAATTGGAATGCTAGTGATCCAAAAGCATTGGGTGATGTTATTAATGAATTAATAAGGCTTTACAAATCACACCAGGTAACTGCTTTTATATTTTTAAAAAGAAGTTCAAATATATAAAAAAAGGCTTGCTTGGTGAACTTGTGCTCTTTTAATAATACAACAGTACAGAATACAATTTTGGTTTAGTCCTTACCACTTGCTTGCCAAACATTATTTTAATACAAAAAATTATTTCGTAAAATATGTACTATACTATTGTTAGTTTCTTAACACCTTAATTTAGGTAAATATGTGTACTGTGCTAGTTAGCAAAACTAATGACAAACTGGTTGACATAACTAACATTATTTCATAGCAATGTTATGCAACATTCATAACTATTTATGACACTATGATGTAACAACTATTATAGTAGCAAGAGTCATTTGAGGATGCTTAAAGATTCTTTAAAATTAGAAGACTTTTTGTCTAAGCAGTCTGGGAAAGTACCTAACACCTTTGGATCTCTATTTGCCACTAAGCAGCAGTGCACCAACTGTCTTCTAGTTTGAAGGCAATAAATATTCCCTAAAAATTACAGTTTACATAGCTGACCTAATGTAAAGACATAAATACTATTGGTTTAGATGTTAGAATATGAGTATAGTATGAGTAACTTTATTGTTGCCTCTGCAGCAAAGAAATATCAATGAAGATTCTTTACGTTAAAGAGGTTTGTTTAAGCATACGTAAATCTGATGAACTGCTTCTTCATGTCTACACTATGAACAAAAATGATACTAAATGAAACTGTCAAACGCTTTACTAAAATTACACGCAATTATTTGTTACCGTGTTTCGTGATACAAGCGAGTGACTGAATCCAGCAGTTATTTTTTTATAGAATAGAGTTACAAATGATCACACAGTCCACCTGATGGTAAGCAGTTGCTGCGGCCCATAGGCATCTACATCTAGCCTCGATTACAAATCAAAATGCAGATGCGTTGTCACCCATGACTAAGATGGAATGCCTCGTTTCCAGTAAAAAGGGTCTCCAGTTCTCTACACTCACAATATGAAACACAGCAGCATTTAGCTGTTATTTTAAGCTGATATTCTGTGAGAGCGTGGTCCTTCCCCAGTCGAGCCGACCCATTCGTGCTACAACTATACTACTAATATAATTGCAGCATGACTCTACCATGTATAATGATTGCAAAATTTTTGTATAAAAATTTAAATAATAGTTAATCTAGAGAAAGTCCAATGGTTATCACTTATCATATTTAGAAACTGCTTAAAAGTTAATATATTTTGATTCTGTAACAACAAAACTGTTTTTCCAGGTAAAAAAGTTAAGTGAAGATGACTCCCGTGCTTCTTTCGAATACAGTGCTCTTCTGGGTAATGCTTATATTTCTGAACATGATATTGAGGTTTGGGTTGGGGGGCATATAGCTGAATTCTTAATTAAGCTGAAAGTGGATACATCAAAGTTACCAGAATTGTATGATGAACGGTATGTGCTTCATTTTATTTAATATAAAATCTGAATCAAACTTACAATCCACCGGATGGTAAGAGGCTACTCAGTCCATGTCCATGGATGCTTGCGGCCAACTTCAAACAAAAGAGGTTACATATACATTGTCACCTTGGTGCAATAAGATGGAATGTCTCACAGCCTGTAATTATACTGTACTGCACTAGCTCTCTATACACCTCAGACCGAAACACATAGGTAAGAAGATGGTACTTAACCAGGTGGACTCTTAGGCAGAAAAGGACTGCTACCACCTATTTGTTTTTATTTACTTTTTCTTTTACATTAGAAGGGTCAACGCCGTCCATTTGACGGCGAAATTATTTTGATCGCCAGTAACCTTTTTTTTAACTTCCCGCTAAGAAAATGAAAATTTCCCAAAAATAGGGAAGGTATTGGTTTCACCCCGATTTTCGACAATCGAGTTTTCATCAGATCTCGACGTTTTGAGATCCCAGGAATTATTTAGCTATTCTGAACGGTACTGTACTGTACTGTACGGTGAAGTTTGAACTGATTCGGACGAGTAGATTTTGAGAAATCTCAAAAAAAAATCAAAATTGTGTAAAACTGTTTTTTTGTAATAACTTTTAAACGGCTTTACCGCTCGATTTCAAAAACTAATCAGCTCTTATCCTCAAAAAATGACGTGGAATGCCGTTTGGAAAATAAAAATCGGTTCATTCATTTGTGAGATATCGAAGGAGAAAGAATTTGAAAAAACGTTTTTTTTTAACATAACTTCGAGATTTCGCAACATAATTTGGTGAAATTTGGAGCGCTTTGCATTTAAAATTAGCGGAAAGTTCCAGGGATGGCCTGCAGGGTCAACCAATTTTTTCAGTTTGTATTCATATTTAATGACTTTTCCTAATTTCTGATTGTATAAGTTTCAACATAATAAAAATAAGTGAGTTGTGATTGTTAAACAAGAAATGTTTACTTATTCCTAATAAGACCGGATGCCGTCATTTTGACGCCACATCAATTAGTGTGAAGTATTGAAAACAAAAGATTTCTTTACTAATCCAAAACGATATCTAACCATATAAGGCCACAATAGATGTACAATAGTTTTAAGTTAGATCTGGTAATATAGATGGGTACTGCAATTTAAAACTCCAGAAAGTTATTTAGCAGATTTAATCAAATTGGAATTGATATTGAATTATGTAGCTTTAAAATATAGTTTGTTTTAAGAATAAGGGTGACAAACAAGCGTACAGTCCACCTGATTGTAAGTGGATGCTGTGGCCCATAGACATCTACATTTATCTTCGATTAAGAATCAAAACACAGATATGTTGTCACCTCTGAGGACTAAAATGGAATACCTCGTTTCTGGTAAAAAAGGGTCTCCGGATCTCAACACTCACCATATGAAACACAGCAGTATTAAGCTGCTATTTTACGCTGGTATTCTGTGAGAGCATGGTCCTCCCCCGGCCGAGCCGACCCATTCGTGTTACAACCATAATATAGCTGCAATATGGGCTCTACCACGTATAATATTGCTTAAGTATTAAAGTGAAAACAGGCAATTTATAATGAGTTACTGGATTTGAGAATGTTAACTTGTGGCACTAACATAATATGTATGACTTCTGACTGTTTTAGGTCACTGAAGAATGTTATTATAATTTTGTAATGTCTCTGTCGCACAGTGGCTTTTGGTTGATTTGACATAGAATAAACAAACTATAAAGTAGGATCCTGAAGTCAAAACATAGACAGAGCTTGCATTTATATAAAAACATGAATATGTTTTTATACAAATGCAAGGGTTTTTGTTAATTTCTTTATGCATTGCTTACGTTTCATTTTCATGCTGTACTCTTATTTTTTTATAGAATAGGGTGACAAACGAGCACACAGTCCACCTGATGGTAGGTGGTTGCTGTGGCCTATAGACATCTACATTTATCTTCGATTAAGAATCAAAACACAGATGCGTTGTCACCCCTGAGGACTAAGATGGAATACCTCATTTCTGGTAAAAAAGGTCTCCAGACATTAACCTTCACCATACGAAACACAGCAGTAGTAAGCTGCTATTTTACGCTGGTATTCTGTGAGAGCATGGTCCTGCCTTGGTGGAGCTGACCCATTCTTGCTACAACCATTATATAGCTGCAGTGTGGCTCTACCACGTATAATATTGCTTAAGTATTAAAGTGAAAACAGGCAATTTATAATGAGTTACTGGATTTGAGAATGTTAACTTGTGGCACTAACATAATATGTCATTTAATATGTATGACTTCTGACTGTTTTAGGTCACTGAAGGAACATTATTATAATTTTTTAATGGCTCAGTCACACAGTGGATTTTGGTTAATTTGACATAGAACTAACACTATAATATACAATATTAAAGTCCCAGATGATTGATATTATTAGCCTCAGCCTACAATCACCTGGAACACCCTTTAAACAAAAAAGACCACAAATGCGTGACTATTTATACTAGCTCTCTTGCACCTTAATCAGGAACACAGCAATTGATACACTGCTGTTTACCGATAGAATTAAACCTGGTACTAACTCAGATGTACTCCTAAAACAATGATAAGAAAACCAATATAATTTCAGAACTGAAGATAATCCCGGCATTGACACAGCTCTTCTACTAGTCCGATATCCAAATTCCACAAATGCAGAACTGGTGTTGTCACCATTTCTATCAAAGTGTCTAGGGAATATATCATTGCCTCTGTAAGTATTGTTTCCGAATTGAGAAAAAAAACCTTGAAAGTTGTGTAATAAAATTATTTCTACTATATTCGGTTATCTAAAAAAATATAACAATTTCAGAATGCATCAATCCGGAGTACTAATGGATTATGTTCCCATGGTTACAGATCTCTTAAATAACAAGGTAATACATTGTGTTAGTATTAGATGTGTAACCAGTATTCGGATATTGTACAGTATTCGGCCTAGTCGGTTACTTTTATCCCATTCGGTCAAATACCGAATGTAGTAGTATCATATAAAAATATCTAGGTACTATTCGGCAGAGTACTGAATACACAAGTAAGATGTTTTGTTGTAGTCTGATAATTGGTAAATGAAAATATTGATTTATTTTATAATAATGTATTTTTCTTGTAATCATTGATGTATTGGTAGGTAAATCATGAACTTCTAATAAAAAAATCAAATAAATGTCTATGCACTTCAATTATCATAATTAAAATTAAAAAGTGGAAGATTATGGTGCAGAAAGTCTATATTTTCTGCATTTTCAGGCAGTAGTTTACTACCTTTCTTCTCATAGACAATCCCAGCTTTTGAGAAAAGATGCTCTGAATAAATACCATTTCCTTCTCGGCCGAATACTTCAGCCTAATATTCAGCTCAGTGCCCGCCAGATATTCGCTAAATAAACTATTAATTAGTAGTAAAGTAAACTATTAATAAAAAAAAATAAAACATATATATATATTATGTATTATATTTTTTCAGATTCAAGACTTACTAGATAATGACAAATTAAAACGGGAGCTTTTGGCGCAGTTAATCGTAAAATATGAAGGTGCCATTTTGGAGCATGACGCCAGCAGTGCTGCTTTTCTTTTTGAAATGAGTGATTTTTATTGGATATTGCAAATTGATATAGGTAGTTCATAACACACATAACCATATATAAATAAACCATCTGTATAAGAAAACTGTACTGTCATAACAGGGGTAAAAAAAGAGCTTAGGCAATGTGTAAATAAATAAAACATCATTTAACCTAGAAACTGTTATAAGAGGTACTGTAATTATTTTAAGATTGTGTGATATGCATAATGGAGAAAACGCAGCGCTCGCACTGATAGAAATTTTAACATTTTATGACAGCTTTTGTGAAATTCAGTAAATTATGTGTTTCTCGTTGGGGTGGAATAAAGATGCCGATCAAACTATATGTTACGTCGTCCAAAATTGAGATCGTGTGAGTCATTTGCTTTAAAATAGCTTCATGGAGTGGAGTTCACCATAATTACATTCCCAACATAATTATTTTTACAATCGTGTACGCGAACGCTTTAGAAAGGCAGAACATACTAGGTCGATCCCAGTTCATTCAACAATTGGCCTATTTGCTCAGTGCGGATATTCGTTAACATTCGTGATTATTATATTATGTATATTATATATATATATATATATATATATATATATATATATATATATATATATATATATTATTGATTATTATATTATATTTATATTACGTACCAAAGAGAAGGCTACGCCACTGGATATTTGAGTCTGAAGAGTTGAGTCTTGTTTGTACTATATGATGTATGCCATGTACTTTTAACTTGACAGTGGAACATTGATCCTTATTGCTTAAACGCTAAGACTGATTTCCCATATTACATCGTCGTAATTGCTGTTAGAACAGGCAACTGACTGTCTTAACAATATAATATAATATTTTAATATGTGTGTTGGTATTATATCAATATTTTACAAAGAAAATAATAAATAAAGTTAATTAAATTGCAAACACAATGGTAAAGCAAATCGCATTACTAAGACGGAAAATGAAGCATGAAAATTGTTTCTAGATCAATCTTAGATATTGTTTCAGCTTAAACTCGTATTTTTGTTTCCATTAATTTTATGTCATTGCAGTTAAATATTATCACAGGAAGTACATAGCTCATCGTTAAATCGATTCAAAATTTGTATGGTACTAATGACAGCCTCGAAAGGTTTTCGAGTGGCAGCCTCGTACCGATAGCCGCATTCCGAATTCAGAATCAAAAACCAGATCGTCACTCGTCATTCAATCTAGTGGTGGACCGCCTTACATGGCGGTCCCCCACTAGATTAAGCGACGACCTGGTAAGACATGCTGGAAGTCGATGGATGCAGATGGCTCCGGACCGTGCTTTGTAGCATTCCTTGCGCGAGGCCTAAGTTCAGCAGTGGACCTGTGAAAGGCTGTAGTAATCATTATGATGAATAACTGATCGGTAATTTAATAAGCGTTTTTCCAAAAATACTTTGTTGCCGATACAACTGTTGTTTAAAACATGATATTAAATGCCACAGGTAGAAATCTGTCCAAAAAATTAGTATGCATAATATTATGATAATATAGGTATGGCTATGGGAAAGGTGTAATATCGATGAATGGACGATGTCACAATAAATGATAAATTTCCGGCTTGACCTTAAACAAACAAGCTTAATGTTTGAAACAGTAATTAATAAAACCTGACTATGTTAAAAAGCTTACTGAAAGCAACATACTACTCCCTTTTTTGTATTTGTAGATGGAATTTATAAATATTACCGTATACGCGACTTCGTTCGCGTCTAAACTATTACGATTGGAAGTCATGGCTTTAAATTTTTTTTCGAAACACTTATTCTTTTTCCAAAACAAAAGTAGGCTAAGTTACTCCTTATATAATTCATATAAGCTATCTGCCATTGCCATTGCCATTTCGGAGATTAACCGGAAAAAAACAGACACAAAACTTTTTAAAATTGTTTTTTTGTTATAAGCATCGTTTATATACTTTCTTATACATGTAGTAAAAAGCTGTTGTTTTGACATTACAAACAGACACTCCAATTTTATTTATTTGTATAGATGTAGCCTAGTCACTCCCACAATTAAGTCGAATCTAACGACACCTCATATGTAAAAGTACATCATGCAGTTTAGGCTACAGAGCGTGACAAAGAAATAGACATATATTTATATACATACTCATGAAAAACATGACCCCACTTCTGGGAAGAAGTGGGGTAAATAGTCATACTCATCCATTAAATTATTATTATGCGAAGTTTGATAGGGTCAAGGAACAATTGCCTGCAAAAAATTATGTGGTTCATATATTACAAAAACGTTACTGATAGCTTTACTACTAGTTACTATATAGTAAGCTTTTTTACTAGCTAATACGTGGTAGAGCCACGCTGCAGCTTTATTATGGTTGTAGCACGAATGGGTCGGCTCGACCGGGGAAGGACCACGCTCTCACTGAAAACCAGCGTAAAATAGTAACTTAATGGTGTGGTGTTTCGTATGGTGAGTGTAGAGAACCAGAGAGCCTTTTTTACTGGAAACTAGGCATTCCATCTTAGTCCTCACGGGTGACAACGTATCTGCATTTTGATTCGTAATCGAGGATAGATGTAGATGTCTATGGGCCACAGCAACCACTTACCATCAGGTGGACTGTGTGCTCGTTTGTCACCCTATCCTACAAAAGAAAAAGCTGTAGTCGTCACGCTTGGCAGGCGCATTGATGAGCACAGTGCAGTTGTCGCTGCCACTTGTCTGTTAGGTTTGGATAGTTTACGATAGCCGGTAACGAGATAGTAATACCGCAACTTTGTTGAAGCCATTAGATTATAGATCTTTTAGACATTTCCCATATTCGTATATTTTATGGCACCCACGTACAAAATGGGGTGATGGATACTAGACACAGTCTTGAAATTAATTTAGAGTAATATTCACTTTGAAAATGTGTCTTATGCTTTGCCTTTTAATTATGACAATAACACAATTGCTTTCAAATAATTTATTGAACTAATGATGGTCATGGACATGTATTATTACTTAGTTACGAATAATCATCATCTCATTTATTGTCATTGCCTTATTAATGGTATCTACATTTATTTAAAAAAAAACGTATAGTGATGTTTTAAGAATATCCACTAGCCCATATCCCGTGGGTGTCGTAAGGGGCGACACAGAGAAATAAAACAGGAGATGGGTAGCAGCATTACTGATAGCAACTCAAAATAATAAGAAAATCTTCGATTGCCAACTTCCCGGCCAAGCGTGGCTACTATAGCAAATATGGAGGATATTCGCCCTATGTGGCGATCTATGTGGTTCGGTTGTGGGCGTTTGATAGATTAGTACTGAATGAATAAATAAAAAATAGATGTATTGAGCTGACGAAAAATCAATCACACATTGTTTTATATACCAACAATTTCCTTATTTTTCAGGTGTTAAATTTCCGGAAAGACCACCACTTCTGACTTTGCGATCAGTTTATCACAGCAATAAAGGAAAACCAAAATTCAAGGTTTTATCTGCTTGCCCGTACAATAATTTTGAGGGGTACATTGAACAACAAGCAGAAATTTTCAAAAATGAATGCAAGGGTGTGATACCAACCAATCAGCTTCTAAGTATAGATAATTAAACATGTATATATTTTCTTAAATGTCTTTTATTTTTTATTTTGTGTTTTCCTTTGAGTGCCAAAGTCCTCAACAAAGCTTAGACTAATCTAAGAGATATAGGCCAAGGTCAACCATTTTTATTAAGCCTTCATTGCTGATACTAACCAATATAAATTATTTTTAACACAGTAGATGGTTGTTTTAACTTAACACTTTCACAGCGGAGCATTTAAGGCGCCGCTTGATACGGTACGCGGGCGATTTTCTGTATATTTGTGAATGTCATATAAACTTAACTAAAATGAGAACACAGATAATTCTTTTTGTGTATATAAGATATACTATTGCAGTTTATGATTAGTAAATAAAAATACATTATATTATTTTTGTTATATTTATAAAAAAAAAACAATATAGTCCTTTTTTTGAAAAAAAAAAAAATAAGTCTTACATAATGTATATGCCTCTTTATAGATTTTCATTCTCAGTGGCACATTACAGTCCGGGCAGTAAAAAACAGTCTCCTTGCGTCCTCGTTTTCCAGTTTCGTGTTTGATAGTGTCTGCACAAACTTTACAGACTCTCGTCACTTTTGTCTTCTTTTCTGTACTTGGAATTCTTTCAATGAAGTGTCTTCCCACTAATCTCGAAGTCTTGCCGATCAGGTGAGCTCCATGAGATGGACCTGCATCATCAGTAGACCTAGCTGGCACAATGCCTTCACCACAAGCCATCAAAAATTGGGAAAACCGCAATTGGCGGCGTGCAGGCTGCTGTTTGTTGTAAATTACCATGGAGTTCACCATGGCCCTTGCCACTAAATGGAAAAACATTTTGTTCCACCACTTCATACATTTCCTTTGCAGGGCATAATAGGACATGTATTGGTCGTTCAGGTCTACACGGATTTTATTTTTATTGTAGTCTAAGACGCAGTCCGGTTTTTTTTTGCCAGACCTCCTTTAGCTTTTACAGTCACCTCTGTCCAGGTTGCGGCGTGTTTGGTCGTCAGGAAGGGAACGTCCCGCTTGTCTTTCCACTTACAGGCGGTGAGATTCCCACGGTGACAGAAAGACATTTCATTCACCTCCAAGAGCTGTTGTCGCCATTCTTGGGGCAAGCCACGCCGGTTCGGCATCACAGTGCCGACAACACGAGTATTTTTCAGCCAGAGTAAGTCTGCAACCGTTGGGCTGGAGAAAAATCGATCCATATATATCATGTGCCATTTTTCAAAGTACGGTTCACTTAGTTCTGTGACTATTTTCTCAACCGTTTTGGAATCACCGACATATGGAACCATGTTCAAAATATACCCCGTCGCTGCGTTACATAACATATAAATTTTCATTCCGTATTTGTCGGGTTTATCTTTATTGAAAACTCGGAAGTGTACTCTGTCTCTAAAGCCACACGTCCCTTCGTCAATCGTCAAGGCTTCCCCAGGATAAAAACTGGTAGCACACAGCCGACAGAGCTCGTCAAAGTATGGCCGTAGCTTGAAAAAGGCGTCGTAGTTATCTTGACCCCGAGGTATGTATTTGGAATTGTCGTTCAGGTGACGACAACTGTAAATAGCCCTGAAACGATCTCTATTCATCAGTTTGGCCGCATATGGGGTGTGTATAATTTCTCTTGTGGACCAGTACGCGTCAAAGCTTTCTTTATGCACTAGCGACATATGAATTATTATGGAGAAAAAAAGTTTCAGCTCTTCCAACGTAACGGGTGTCCACTTATCGAGCATACTCCCTGGTTTTAGCAGTCCTCGTCTAGCCAGCTTGGTCTTCATCTGCGCGGCATATCGATTCGTTTCAGTTTTCAGGAGCTTCCAAAAATCGTTTGTGAAAAAGACTGAAAAGCAGTCGATTTCTGATGAATTCTCATCTATGGGGGCTAAGACACGACATACTTCTTTGAAGACAGGGTCTTCTAATAGACGTTCACTTGGCACATACGTCCATCCATTGGCCTCGTCCATTTCTCTTAGAGTAATCTGCATTTGTGAAGATCGCCCGTGTGTAGTTGAGCGCACTGTGCCGCCGCGCTGACGCCCGCGCCGAAACCTTCTCTGTGTACGCTCCCGAGTACGCCCTCGCTGGTTGACCGGTTCACGAAATTGCTCCTGCTCCTCAACTGCACCATCATCGTGCCTTTCTTGACTGGCCACAACCACTTGCAGGTCAGACAACAAGTCTACAAAAGAAATTTCTATTGAAAGCATACTCAATACGGAAATGGTCTACCTACATAGAAATAATATAAATATAAATTATTATTTACCTTCAATTTCTTCATTCTGAGCCTCCTCAATATCAGAGTCATCATTATCCTGTAAAAAATCAGCAATCTCGCGCATAGAGATCGCACGATTGCGCTGCGAGGAAGCCATTTCGCGCCAAAATGCAGTAACGTTCACCCTGTTTACTCGCCGGCGGCAGACTGAGCGGGCGGCGCGGGGGATCGCATATTGTAGGTCTCCTGTTCCCGCTTCGCACATGTATTGCAGATGTGTGTATAGCTTATAAACTCGGCTACAAATGCGTAACCAGCGAATCATGACTAGGCGACGTGATTTTCTAATAAACAGTATGAAAGGCGGTAACGAGTGCCGCTCGTGATTCGCGAGTTGGAGAAAAATATGAATGCCGAGCGGTACTCGTGATTCGCTGTGAAAGAGTTAAATAATAATCTAGCATTTCGGATTTCCCAGTTAAGTGGTCAGCGTGTGCTGTGACACACAGGCCTCTTCCAACTCTTTCCATTCTTCTCTGTTGATAGCTTTTCTTGACCAGATTGTCCCTTCAATAATCTTGATATTATCTGTCCATCTTTTTGCTTGTCTGCTCCTTTTTATTTTGCCATCATGTGGTTGCCATTCCGTTATGATTTTCGTCCATTTTATCCTGCTCTCGCCATTTCAACTGTCTAATTTTCTTTATTATGTCTTCCACCTTTTTTGTAGGTCTAATATCTTCTGCTCTTTTGCGGTCTTTTAGCGTCACGCCCAATATCTTTCAATTCTACTTTGACATATTCTCAGTTTTAGAAGATGTTTCTGATTCAACGCCCAAGTTCGGCATCTATATGTAAGACATAATAAGATATATGAGTTGAACCCTTTTTTCTTGGTTGTCATATGAAATTATTTACTTTTGATTATATCTTTAAGGTACCGGTATCTTTTCTTCCTATTTCTATGTCTGTCTGATCTCTTAATGATAATAATTAATCTAAGTATATATAGTTTTTAACATACTCAATATCTTCATTATTTACTTTTATGTCTATTTCTTCCCTGTTTGTCATTATTTTTGTTTGTGATTTATTCATAGTAAGACCAAATATTCGTTCACAGTTGCAGGCATATTGGAGCGCATTAGCGTTGTCAGTTATGATGATGATCCTCGAATCCTAAATGGTTAAGTTGTCTGCCGTTGATATTGATGCCAAAATTGGCCGACTCGAGATCCCTGAATATGCTTCCTTGCCACACCCATCTATCTATTCGGAACTCTTCGCCGGTTGTTTCCAGTTTTATTCGCGCTATGCTATTCGCGTATATATATTTTTAATTATGTCTGCCTCGTTGGGCTGGTGGTTGTAGTAGTGCAACTGCTAATCGTGAGGTCCTGGGTTCGAATCCCGGGTCGGGCCAAAAAATGAATTATTGAGTTTTTCTGTCAAGGAATTTTCAGTAGGTGCCCGGAGTCAGGAAGTTGGCGGTGTCTCACCCCCGTGCCTCGGAAAGCACGTAAAGCCGTTGGTCCTGCGCCTGATCTCTCTCCGGTCGTGTCGGTTAACCGTCCCATCGGATTATGAGAGTGAGGGAATAGAGAGTGCACCTGTGCTTGCGCATACACTTCGGCACTATAATCCTGTCCTGCGCCGATATCTAGCCTTCGTTGAGGCAGGCCGCCGTGGCCGAAATTCGGTCTGGAGGACATTATTATTATTATTGGGGGGTATCAATATAGTTCATCTGGTTGGGTTCTATAAATATATAATTATAAATGGAAATGAAAAGATAAATGTACATAAATATCAATAAAATTAAAAAAATATAAAAATACTTAAATAAATAAAAGCCCAACCAGATGGAGGCCCTCGGCAGGGGAGACCAAACGGCCGAGGGTTAGGGGGAAAGGGAAAGAAACCGGCGGACGGTATCGAGAAGCACCGCCTTCTGCATTTGAGCCTGGAGCGGTCCGCCACGTAGTCCCAGCCGCCTCAGATGACCCGAGAGACTGACAGATTAGCCGGTTTGCAGAGACGACTACAGGAATAATTTCGGTCGGCAGACCACCCCACATGTCGGCCCTCGCTCCCCCGACACACCTGACATTTTATTGCATCATCTAGTACGAAAGTAGTAGTAGTAGAGAAAATTGCCGGCACATGTTTATGTCTTGACTATTTTTGTGAGAAAAAAAGTATTTCGTTGTTATTCTTAGTGAAATTGATAATAATATGATAAAAATGAGTGGCAGGAGATCTACTAGTTCGACTTGTTTTAGAGTAACTGACGACCAAAGTAAAGTGAAATGTAGGTACTAATGTAATGTAATGTTTTTTGTTTGATTCAAAAAATTTTTTATCAACTTTCCTATTTGCTATAATTGGATATAAATCTACAGTTCCTCAAAAACATAACGCTATATTATATTTTCGATTTCTTAATACGTTATGATTCCTAAATACTTCTATATATATTATATATTATTATAAAATTGATTTCGACGCTGTATATTATTGTTAAGCTATATACCTACTTTAAATAATAATAAAGACTGTCGTTTATACAAGTAAATTTAACCCGTAAATAAAATACTTTCAATAGTAAAATAATGAGGACATGGCATAACTCAATTCGTACATTTCAATACAGTGGACACTTCGAGTAACACTAACGAATGTCGGTAAACCTGCCGAATATGCCGAATACCGAATATAAAACGAATATTCGGCCCATCTCTAGTGAAAATCCATTTGCTTTTGATCCTTAGTTGAGGATAAATGTGTGTAAGGATGTCTATGGGCCACAGCATACACTTACCATCAGGTGGACTGTGTGCTCGTTTGTCACCCAGTGCTATGAAAAAATATCTTCTTTTTTGTTGTTTTTTTTTGTTTGTTTTTTGTTGTGTATGATTCTGCTCTTGTGAGATGGTATACATTCTGTGCTTAAGATATATTTATTTCTGTGTTTTCTTGGCTTTTCCAGTGAAATAACAGGTTTCAATCATTTCATTTGTAATCTGATCTGGTCCGGATGCCTTATCATTCTTTAGATTGTTTGCAACTTTTCTATTTCTGATTGTAAAAAAACTGGTATGTCTTCTACGTCGTCATCGAGATTTATAGTAAGATCTGCGGTATTTTGTTCTGCTGCACAAGTTTTCTGTAGAAGCCAGTTACTGTCTGTATTATAACTTTTCTTGTCGATTCTTGTTTTCCTGCTTTATTCTTAATGATTTTTTAACTCTTTAATTTCTCCTGTCTCTTTTATATGCTAGTTGTGTACGTTGATTCTTTTTTGATTCTGTCCTTTTTGGTGCTATTACTTTTTTTTTGTTAATTCTGATATGACCCTTAAATTTTGTTTGTCTTTTCTTAGTTTTAGGAGTAGTTTTCTTTTATTAATCTTTCAGTGTCATTTTCGGCTTAATTTTTGCGGCGACTCACAGCTAACGCAACGGAATGACACACGCATTTGACATATACACAGTGTGGATTTAGTTCTTTCATTTTAGTCACAATTCCATAATGTTCGCCAAACATAACATTTGTCGTGTCAGCTGCGAATAGGGTTGCCAGATGTCCGGTATTTAAGCGTACAGTCCGGTATTTTCGAGGCCTGTCCGGTAAAATATAAATGGTCATACCGGACAGAACAATGTCCGGTATTTTGAGGAAAGTCGGTACTACTGGTCACAAGCGCCTACAAAAGTAGGCATATGAAATCCCTAAAACGCAAAACTCGCGCGCGCTCCTCGCTCGCTGTTTGTATCTGCGTCTGCGGGCTCTCACTTCACCACTGTATACCCGTCTCACTCACTCGTACTCGCTGCCTGCGTCCACTCCCCCACCCGCGCGCGTCCGGTGTGTTTTGTTTTGATTTTTCGAGTTTTGTTTACCTAGTCGATAATTAGATTACGCAACGTTCGGGAGTGTTTACGCAGTTGACCTAAGTACCTACTCGTTGAAACAAGCAAAGTTGTCCGTCGTAGTTGAGTGTATGTTTGTGTTTTTGACTGTTTGTTGAGTTTTACACAAAGCTAATGGAAAATGGAGGAAGAAGAAGCTTCCACCAGTTCTGCAACACCGCCAAAGAAAATAAGACGAATGTGCCATTATAATAAAGACTGGGAAAATAAATATTCTTGGATAACTAAAGCCAACGTCGACACTAGAGCTTACTGTAAAATTTGTAGAAATGAATTTGCTGTGGTTGAAGGTTTGAAGGGGGTGAACCAGCATGCCTCTACAAAAAAGCATAAAGAGGTGGAAAGTGCGCAAGCCAAGTCCCAAAGAATGGACTCTTTCTTTACGCCTAAAGGAAGCGCACAGAGTGAAAAAGTAAGCCTTGCCGAGTTAGCAGATATTTTTCACTCTTTAAAACATCACATCTCCTATTTGGCTCAAGATTGTTCATTAAAGGTCAGAAAACAAACCATCACAGATTCGAAAATCGTGAAACAAATGACCGGAGGGTGCACCAAATGCACTGCCATTGTGAATCAAGTTCTAGCCCCAAGTTCAGCCCTTATTCAATGGAATTGGTCCAAGAGGATTTGAAAGAAGTCATGCCTTTTTCCGTCGCTACTGATGCGTCGAATAAAGGAAACAAGAAGTTGCTTATTTGGAAAAGTGATTCCAGTTCGAAAACTCGGTGTTCAGAAGCTTCAGTTGCTTGGACCTTGAACGCGGTCTACCAACTCTGGACCAACTAATTGAATTGTGGACTCTAACGAGAAGCAACTACACTCCACCGGAAGCACTCTACTCAGAGTTGGCTATACTTAGTAGTGTTTACCAGTCCCTGAAGGGAAAGTCAGTGGATATGTGGTGCAGCTTTTTTAGTAAAGAATCAGCGCCAAATCTTCTCAAATTGGTTCAACATGTATGCAGCATTCCTGTATCTAACGTCTTCGTCGAGCGCATTTTCAGTGTGATGGGAAATATATGGACCAATTAACGAAACCGCCTTGGTCTAGAGACTGTGAAAAGTGAACTGTGTGTTTTTTTCAACATAAACTCGAGCTGCACTGATTTTAAAGAACGTGTTGTATCAAAAAAAACACTATTGAAAGCGGTTGCGTCAAATGCAAAATATGTTAAAAAGAAGTAAGTAGGTACTACCTAAAAGTAGTACCTAGGTACAGTACAACATAAATAAATTAGTTTTAGAAGAATGATTTAACTTTATTATTTGTTCATTGGAAGTTCCTATTATTTTTGTTAAACATACCTATCTAGTTTTAGGTGATTTTATTTTTTTCTGAAGTTCCTACCTTTATTTTGTTAAGTAAGTAGTAGATTATAATATTAATACCATTGTTTAATAAAGACTTTCTCAAAGTAAGCATAGTCTTGGCGACCACAATTTTATGACTGTATTATATTTTGTTACTAATTAAGTTGATTTATGTGATGTAGATTAATAAATAAAAACTATTAGTATAAAAAACCCGTATTTTGTTCGAACTAGCTTACAACACCCCCCCCCCCCCCCCCCATTTAGTGTTGTCCGGTATTTTTTTCGCGACTCACCTGGCAACCCTAGCTGCGAAGCCAATCATATCTTCCCATTTAAGATCACGTCCTTCAAATACAGTTTTGAGTGCCTTTAACAAGTCTTGTGCTGTTTCACCGTCTATATCTATTATACTTAACAATCTAGATTTCACTTATTTTTTTACTTAATTCTGATATGGCCCTTAAATTTTGTCTTTTCTTAGTTTTAGGAGTAGTTTTCTTATAATCTTTTAGTGTCATTTTCGGTATGAGTTGTCTTGGGTTTTGAGAATTTCTTGAATAGTGGACCATATATTTCCTTTATTACATTGTTATTTTTTTTCTACTTCATTTTTTGGTTTGTTTACTAAATATTGTGTTTTTGTAATGTTGACTTTTACATCAAATTTGTTTCTACTATTTTTCACTTCTATATTATTTATTACTGCTCTCACCTTGCGATGGTTGGTCAATCATTACGGTCAAAACTATCTACAAATTTGATAGTTTAAGTTTCATAATTGTGATATCTGCTTCATAACTCTCCTGTCAACTTTTTTATCATGAAATGAAGGAGAGTGCTATAAAAAGTACTTTCATGTCTGATATTAGTCTATTCTATAACGCTAATTTCCCTTAGAACCAAATTAAATTACAGTACGACGACGCTCGTGATCTAGACGACTTTTTAAAGTACCTAGCACATATTATGTATGTTATTATTAATGTTTTTAATGTATTTTTAATTATATTGTATTAAAATTTAAGCATAGTTCATGATAATTTTTTACTTTGAATTTGTTATGTAACTAAATTAAAAGGAGAGAGTTTCAAAAAAGAAATAACTAACTAGAAACCACTAGGATCAATAACATTCAATTTAATTTCAATATATTGTCAATACAATGTATTGTTATATCAATATCTAAAATCTAAAGGCGGTGTTCAACTTTCGCCGCATATTGGGAGGGCCACGGGAACATATTCGCAAACATCCGCGGCACCACCGGAAGGCCCGCCTTCTTCCACGGCCTCAACTCCACCTGCGCCAGGAAAAATGAGTACTGGGAAGCACCAGCTTACCTGACCCCAGCGGCGAATTGGGTCTATGACGACGCCGCCAACGCAAGTTTCGGCCGTAGAGGATATAATGAGTGGCGCATAGCCTTACTAACACTCCTCTTCCCCTGCAACTACGGGGGGAAGGATACGTCGTCAAGGCGTTAGTCACGGCCCTCCTCTTGAAAACGGTGTTCCCCTACCGGAAACGAGGCCTCCGGTGTTGCAGACGCTCGGGGTGGGGGCCTCGAACGCCTAGTTATGTAACCCCCGAGGAGGACGATGACTCGGAAGTGGTCTCGAGAGATCGTGGTAGCACTGCGAGGGTGCTGGGGGCAGCAAGTATTGCCTCCTGGACGTGCTATTAGTGTAGCAAAGCGATGGAGGGGCTCCAGTTCGTTCCGAACGGAGATCTCGTGATCCCTTGTACGGATTCACTTGTAACCAAGCCAGGGCGGGTAATATTCAACGTGTCGGTTACCTATATATGATTGGCTTCGCAGCTGACACGACAAATGTTATGTTTGGCGAACATTCTGAAATTGTGACTAAAATGAACAAGTTATAATACGATTAACAATTTAACATTTGCATTGACATTGACAGCTACGCAGCGTGACCACTTTTAAATGAGGGAATCTACCAAAGATACTGTTAAAATCTACTGAAATCTACTATTTCGCATTTTAAAATCTGCAAATTTTTAGTGTAATGTTTTGATTCGAAATAAAACACATTTGCTAATGAACCCTACATGTAATCAATTATTTATAATTAACATTTTTGTATTAATTGTCAATGTTATCGAATTTTTTAACATTTTTATATAATTGTTTCTTATTTTTCATTGTTTCCAACATTGAAGTACCAGGTTCAAATTTTGTACAATTTCCCGATTCCTTTAACCCCCTTCTTAGCGTGTAAAATAGCACGAACGTTTAGATTACTAAATCTGTTACGATCTTCTGTTTTTATTCTATTTATAGCAGAGAAAATGCGTTCACATTTGGCGTTAGATACGTGTAAACAAAGCATTTGCTTTGCCAATTTATCGATATTTCCAAATTGAGATTTATTGTCAGCATGACATAATTTACTTACTGACGCCCAAAACTCTTCAAAATTAGTAACAGCCTCTCTGCTGCTATTACTGCATAATAAGTTAGCGACTTCAGTGTTAAGTTTAAGTTCCCTGAATTCATTGTCGATTAGTTGAATGTCACTTTCGGACACAATGTTTGGAAATTTTGAGGTAACATTAAACAAACTCATAAATTCAGCATGTACAGCAGTTTGGGAATCTAAGAAGCACATCATTTCAAAAATATCGTCATCAAATGGTAGTCTTGTTTTTAACTGCACACACAAAGATCTTAAGAATTCTTGACACCTTTTAAAAATATCTTGAAGCTGTTGCGGGGGTATTTGATTGCGATGTAATTCTAACTGTTAAATCTGTAAGTCTGTGTACTGTTAAATCTAAAATCTAAAAGACTACAGAGCAATATAATTTGTTTTCGAGGCATTTGCTGATGGTGTCAACTATACGATGTACCTGTTCAATTGTCCCGTGTTTTTCCCGGAATCCAAACTGGTGGTTCGGTAATACTGTACTTAGATGTTCTTTCATACTGTTAAGCAATATCCTCTCAAACAGTTTGCCAATAACTGGTAGCAGGCTGATAGGTCTGTATGAAGTAGCTTCGTGTGGGGGTTTACCGGGTTTTGGCACCATGACTATATGTGCAATTTTCTATTGCTTTCAATTTCATTATACCTTTATGAGGCAGGTTTTTAAGTAATGTGGCATCAATTAGGTCATAGCCGGGTGCTTTACCATCCTTGAGGTTCCTTATTTCTTCCACAATTTCTTTAGGGCTGGTACTTTTTAGTGGTAAACACATTTGATTCGCTGATTCGAGGTATTCTTTGATTTCCATAGTGTGTTCGGGATTGTTTTCAGGGAGTGGTTGGAAAACTGTTTTCAGATGTTCCGCAAAGATTGTTGCCTTTTCTTTATCTGATCTAGCCCATCCTCCTTTTTCATCATTGATAGGTGATATATGGTTTTTCGGGCGCTTTAGATTCTTCGTAGCCTTCCATAGTGAGTAGTTTGTGTCTCTCGTTGGATCTAGATTTGAGAGATAGTGTTGAATATTATCATTTTCTAGGGTGCTGATAAGAGCTTTAAGTCCATTTGAGTGTCTATTGAATGCAGTTTTATCACTTGGATATCCCGTAGTATGCCAGATTTTTCTCAAACGTCGGCGCTCTTGTATTTTCTCTTTAATATCTTTTGGATATGAGTTATGTTTCAGAGGTTGTCCATTACCTGGCCTTTTTGGAGTTGCAGAATTGGCAGCAATGTGAATAGTCATATTAAGTTGCTCCAGTTGACTTTCAAGTTCTTCTATTGTACTAATTTTGGTCTTTAGTTCTGTCTCTGTTGTGATTTTATTTTTATAAATTGTCCAGTCTGTAGTGTTCGAGTTGTATATCCTTAGGAGCGGTGCTACTAGATTAACTGTTGTAGTAACATTAAGTATAACTCGTGGTAATAAGTCTGGGATTCTTTCGGTAGGCCAATAGGTAGGTTCTCTGCCGGAGTGACATTCTAATTCATCTCTACTGTAGCTTTACAAAGATGCCTTCCTCTAGTATTGTTCAGCCTAGATCCCCAATTTAAATGTTTTGAATTCCAGTCGCCAGCACATATAAATCTGGGTAACAGATTATCTGCCAACGACTTCGAGAAAAATATTTCGCGAAGTCGTTGGCAGATATAGTATGTTTTGGAGGACAATACACAGCGGAGAATATAGTTTCTAGTTTGCTGTCTACAAGTTTAATAGATGTTGCTTGTATTTTTTCTGTTCGGTATTCCTCTATGGGGTAGTGTTTGATATTATTTTTAATAATTACTGCTGTTCCTCCATGGCTGTTCCCAGTTGGATGATTGGTTGTGTATACTGTATAATTATTAAAGTTTATGTGTGTTTTCGGTGTGAATCTTGTTTCAGAGATTAGTGCTATGTCAATCATCTCTGTTCTGAGAAAAGTCTCTAATTCTTGACGTCTTTCCGTCAAGCCGTTGGCGTTCCAAGTAACTACTCGGAGGTTTCGGGTCATTTTTTCACCAGGCTGCTGACTAGTTTGACCATGCGGTCCATCATTTTGTCCATGATTATTTCCATCATTGTCACCATTGAACGTTCTAATTTTGCGTACATTATGTCCATTAAATCAAAAAAGTCAGCCAAGTCGTTCTTTGTGTTTTGCTGAGTATATTGTTCTTTGGTTTTTGCTGCTTCTGAATAGGTTTTAGTTAAGTTTTGATTATCTGTGCGATTAGTATTAGTACCCAGGTGGGGATCTAGGTTTTTGGTCTCTATATTGTTAGGCATTGGTTTTCCTTTTGACTTAGAATCTAATTTAAGAATTCTTTCTCTATACTGTTTGTACACTTTGCATCCTTTGTAGCTAGCGGGGTGTTTTTCATCACAGTTCGCGCAAGTAGCCTCAGTGTCTGGTTTTTTAGTACATGTTGTTGTAGGGTGAGCGCTACCGCATTTAACACAGCGATAGAGCCTAAAACATTGGTTCTTCTCTCTTGCACTGAATGATTTCCTTTTTCTTATGTGGGGCTTCGAAGGAAATCTTCATGTTATTCAAGTATTTTACATCGAAAATGGTTATGTTGTTTGGCTTTGGTTCTAAATCGACATAAAATACAGGCAACGGTTCCTTTGTATCTCGATGTCTGATATTGACTATTTGTCTCACTTCATGTCCAATTTCATACAATTCTTTCGAGATTTCTGTGGTATTTTCTGATGCATGGAGTCCGCGTAGTACTACTCTGTATGCTCTCTCGCTTTTAAGCTGGTAAGTATAGTGTGAGATATTATTGGCAATGAAGTTCTCTCGAATCATTTTGTATGTCTGGATGTCTTTAGGTATAATTTTTATAACGTGTCCAGATCTGAGTGTGGTCATGAGGTAAAGGTCGCTCTTTAGAAATTTGTTTAGTACATCCTTAAGAGAATTTACATTAATTACGCCCGTAACAAAGATGGGTTCTGGCTTTGGTAAATATACTTTGTCTGTATTGTTGATTCTATTCGTAGATTCCGTATCAAGTAGTTCAAAACTATTACGTGTAGGGATCACAAAGTCTGGGGAATTTTTCTGTTTTTTATTCCCGTCGTTGTGAATTGGACTTGTTTCTTTCCTTTTCTTTCTCCTGGTGGGAATTTCATCGATTTGCCATTCGTCTGAGGTTATGTTGTCACTGTCAAATTGGGTCTCGGTCTGTGAATCCAGATTATCTTTCTCCTGTTGCTCTCTATGTTGGTTGGAGCTATAGTCATTAAGCTTTTTTGGCAGAGACGATATCGAGTTGCTTCTGTTTCGAATAAACATGCTTTCATGCAAAGTTTGTTGGACCATGTTATTAGGGTTGGTCGGAATTTTAGAAATTAGTAGGGTTTGTTGATTTTTTGTAATTAATTGGTTCATTTTAGTCCCACGAGTAAGGCCGATATAACAGGTGGCTAGGGAGGTGACGCCTATTCTCCCTAGAAGGCTAATACAACGACGTTTGCCAGGTCCGTCGAAGTGGATCGTTTGCGACTGGTCTCCCACCAGCCATGCAGTCTCTTGGCACGAATCTCACCGTAGACGTGGGGTGATTTCTTATAGAAGTTGTCTTCTTCATAGTCCGGGCAATTAAGCCAAGACTACCGATCCTGCGAGCAGCGTTAACAGGGTTGCGGTTTGTGGGAGTCATTTCCTACTCTCACTGTTAGATCAAGCTGGGTAGGCTGGTTTGGTCGGGTTAATTAACCGCCGCCCGAGACCCGGCGTTGTTATTCATTTGGCACCACCCAGGGGGCACGTGTAGGGTAGTGGTTAGGTAGTTCCTACGGACGCGAATAACTATACCCCCCTGAGGTTTGGTTGATTTTGAGCCTTAGGAATTTTTCTGTGTAATTTGACTATTAGTTCTAATAGACTGAGAAACTCGCCCTGATATACTAGGCATTGGTCTAGGTGGAGGTGGTGAAACATATTTTAAAGGGGGGGGGCACAATACCAGCAACAAAAGGTTTTTTTGTGCAGCAGCTTCTATTTTTTCTCTTTTTCTTCTTCCTAATTCTCCAACTGCACTCTTTTGTGTTCCACCTCTTTCTGACTCTCAGATATTGGGTCAGGCACTTCACATTTAGGCAAGTTTCACATACTGTTAAAAGCAGACAGTCTACTGCTTTTTCGATGTATAACATTCCTTTCTAAGCGCTTTTGAACCTGTAAGAGTTGATTCGGTTTCTTTATTGAAGAACCAAGAGAAGAAGCATATGCACAAACCTGAACCTACACAAATTCTGAGCGTAGCTGTCAATGAAAATGTTAATCGTATTATAGCTTGGTAACATTAATTTGCTCATTTTCAATCATGAATATGGTATATTAGTAAATTCTTTTAAATACTAGAAAGGGTAATTATTATTGCCACAATTTCAATAATAATACAATCGATATTCATGATCTTACATGTTCAAAAGTGCTTAGAAAGGAATATTATACATCGAAAAAGTAGTAGACTCTCTGCTTTTGCCATTATATAAAACTTGCCTAAATGTGAAGTGCCTGACCCAATATCTGAGAGTCAGAAAGAGGTGGAACACAAAAGAATGCAGTTGGGAGAAAAGAAAAAGAGAAAAAAATAGAAAGAAGCTGCTGCACAAAAAAAACCTTTTGTTGCTATTATTGTGCATCCCCCATTAAAATATGTTCCACCACCTCCACCTAGACCAATGCTTAGTATATCAGGGAGAGTTTCTCAGTCTATTAGAACTAATAGTCAAATTACACAGAAAAATTCCAAAGGCTCAAAATTAACCAAACCTTTACATTCATTTGCACCAAGTAATGCATCATTTAAACCTCTGGAGCTAAAAATTATAACAAAACTTCCTACTTTGGCAAGGGTACAAAATAAGAGGGAAAATATTGATACAACATTTGACCCAGTAGTGCTATATGTTAGCCAAAAGAAGGCTTTATTAACTACTAGTGTGCGTGAGTTTTGGTAACTCGTTCTCTGGGCTGCAATGTTCAGTGCTAAACAAAGTGCAAAATAAATAATTTGATGCCAACTATGTAGGTTATTTTGCATTTTAAATGAATGTAAAGGTTTGTTTGATTTTGAGCCTTTGGAATTTTTCTGTGTAATATGACGATTTGTTCTAATAGACTCAGAAAATCTTACTGATGTACTAGGCATTGGTCTAGGTGGAGGTGATGGAACATATTTTAATGGGGGGTGCACAATACCTGCAACAAAAGGGTTTTTATTGTGTAGCAGCTTCTTTCTTTTTTTCCCCTTTTCTTCTTTCCATTTCTCCAACTGGATTCTTTTGTGTTCCACCTCTTTCTGACTCTCAGACATTGGGTCAGGCACATTTAGGCAAATTTCGTATAATGTCAAAAGCAGACGGTCTACTATTTTTTCGACGTATAATATTCCTTTCTAAGCGCTTTTGAACCTGTAAGATCATGAATAGCGATTGTATTATTACGTAAATTGTGGCAATAATAATTACCCTTTCTAGTTTTTAAAAGAATTTACTAATATACCGTATTCATGATTGAAAATGAGCAAATTAATGCTAACAATTTATAATACGATTAACATTTGCAATGCATTGACAGCTACGCAGAGTGACCACTTTTAAATGAGGGAATCTATCAAAGACGCTGCTAAAATCTACTGAAATCTACTAGGTCGTATTTTAAAATCTACAAATTTTTAGAGTAATGTTTTGATTCAAAATGAAACACATTTGTTAATGAACCCTACATGTAATCAATTATTTATAATTAACATTTTTGTATTAATTGTCAATGTCATCGAATTTTTTAACATTTTTATATAATTGTTTTTCATTTTTCATTGTTTCCAACATTGAAGTACCAGGTTCAAATTTTGTACAATTTGCCGATTCCTTTAACCCCCTCCTTACCGTGTAAAATTCTAAAATTCTAAAGATCTTTTTTTATTCTATTTATAGCAGAGAAAATGCGTTCACATTTGGCGTTCGATACGTTTAAGAAATCATTTGCTTTGCAAATTTACTGATATTTTCAAATTGAGCTTTATTGTTACAATTTACTTACTGACGTCCAAAACTTTTCCAAATTAGTAACAGCCTCTCTGCTGCTAGTACTGCATAATAAGTTAGCGACTTCAGTGTTAAGTTTAAGTTCCCTGAATTCATTGTTGATTAGTTAAATGTCACTTTCGGACACAATGTTTGGAAATTTTGAGGTAACATTAAACAAACTCATAAATTCAGCATGTACAGCAGTTTGGGAATCTAAGAAGCACATCATTTCAAAAATATCGTCATCAAATGGTAGTCTTGTTTTTAACTGCACACGCAAAGATCTTAAGAATTCTTGACACCTTTTAAAAATATTTTGAAACTATTGCGGGGGCATTTGATTGCGATGTAATTCTAAATGTTTGGCAAAATTAACACCCAAATACAAATTGTTTAAGGGTAAATAATTTACGAAAGAATTGGGGTCAATATTCTTCATTGATGTAGTTTTACGTATTGGATCTTCGTATAACAGCTCAAAATGGAGACAAACATGGCTCGCATGTCATTGTACAAGCGATGCACGACAGGGTAATCTCCTTGGCAAATCGTGTTGAATTTATTTGTGAACGGCAATATATAATCAAGGAAATAGTAATATAGTTTTATAGTTTCGTCATTTAAGGCATTATAAAGAAATTCCGCAGATGCATTAGAGTTTCTATCTCCCAAATACTGTCCCTGAAAATATAATTTCAATGCTGACCATTGTTGTAATATTCGATTAATACAACCGTGAAGGAAAAGCCAGCGTATATCATAATGTCTGAGTAGCTTATAATTTTCTGTATCGGTAAACTCTTGGCATTCTGTGAACTCGTGCTGACGTTTACTACTTTGAGAAAAATAATTATAAACTTCTTTGACCAATTGCTTCAATTTTCATGGCAGTAGTTTGCACGAATGGCTCACAGCTATCGCAACGGAATGACACACGCATTTTACATATACACAGTGTGGATTTAGTTCTTTCATTTTAGTCACAATTCCAGAATGTTCGCCAAACATAACATTTATCGTGTCAGCTGCGAAGCCAATCATATCTTCCCATTTAAGATCACGTTCTTCAAATACAGTTTTAAGTGCCTTTAACAAGTCTTGTGCTGTTTCACCGTCTATACCTATTGTACTTAATAATTTAGATTTCACTTATTTTTTTTACTTAATTCTGATATGGCCCTTATGTTTGTCTTTTCTTAGTTTTAGGAGTAGTTTTCTTATAATCTTTTAGTGTCATTTTCGGTATGAGTTGTCTTGAATTTTGAGAATTTATTGAATAATGGACCATGTATTTCGTTTATTACATTGTTATTTTTTCTTCTACTTCATTTTTTGGTTTGTTTACTAAATATTGTGTTTTTTTAATGTTGACTTTTACATCAAATTTGTTTCTACTATTTTTCACTTCTATATTATTTATTACTGCTCTCACCTTGCGATGGTTGGTCAATCATTACGGTCAACAAATTTGTAGATAGTTTAATTTTCATAATTGTGATATCTGCTTCATAACTTTTTTACACTTTTTTTACAACTTTTTTATCATGAAAATGAAGGAGAGTTCTATAAAAAGTACTTTCATGTCTGATATTAGTCGATATTCTATAACGCTAATTTCCCTTAGAACCTTATATTACAGTACGACGGCGCTCGTGATCTAGACGACTTTTTTAAAGTACCTAGCACATATTATGTATGTTGTTATTACTGTTTTAATGTATTTTTAATTATATTGTATTAAAATTTAAGCATGGTTCATGATATTTTTTTACCTTGAATTTGTTATGTAACTAAATTAAAAGGAGAGAGTTTCAAAAAAGAAATAACTAACTAGAAACCACTAGGATCAATAACATTCAATTTAATTTTAATATATTGTCAATACAATGTATTGTCATATCAATATCTAAAATTTAAAGGCGGTGTTCGACTTTCGCCGCATATTGGGAGGGCCACGCGAACGTATTCGCAAACATCCGCGGCACCACCGGAAGGCCTGCCTTCTTCCACGGCCTCAACTCCACCCGCGCCAGGAAAAATTAAAGCATTATCATGTAAAGAACGTAAAGATATTGTGAGCCTCTCTGTTGAGCGAACTGTAGAAATGGCATGTGTTGAGTTTGAGCACCTCATTGTTGTAAGCGTTTACAGACTCCCATGTTCTTTATATGATACTTTCGAAAAAATCATGGAGGAAGTTTTCGATAAGCTTAATAAACAGTATAAATCTGTTGTAATATGTGGAGACTTTAATAC